ATTCTGATATTCAGTCTTCTATTTCATCTGTTCGATTTCCGAGGGATTCCACAGTGTTTTTTATATGGTCAATTGAATTTTTCAGTTCTAGTATTTCATTCTGACTTCTCTTTAGGATCTCTAATCCTTGGGCTTGTTTTTCATTCAGCTCTTGACACTGTTTCTCATTATTTCTAAGTATTCTGATTATTAATTTTCTGAATTCTTTTTCTGGCATGGTTTCAACTTCTTCTTCTTCAGCCTCTGTTATGGTTGGTTTAGCCTGCTCCATTGGCAAGTTTATATGTTCTTCTATATTCTTATTGTGGGTTTTGTTTTGTTTTTTTGGCATTCCATCTGGGTGGTTTTTCAGGTTGATTTCCCTCTGCTATAGGCTGCTGTGAGGCTGTACCAATATCCAGTGTAAGCAGGCTGCTCTACACAGCCCGCAGGTAAACAGACAGGATGGCTGCTCTCTGCCAACTACAGCTCTGGATCCTGCCCTTTTTCCCCCCACAGGCGCTATTCAAATTTTTTTTTCTTGTAACTTGAGTAGACGGGCATCAGGGCTTTGAGCTGCCCTCCCTTGAGCAAGAAGTGTCCTGTCGCTCTGCTCCACCTTTGGGCTCCGCCTCCGAAGGTTAGTGTCGAGGCAAAGACAGTTCTCCTTTAAGCTCGAATGTAAACAGACAAAATGGCTGCTTCCTGCCCGCTGCAGCTCCGAGGAGGTGCCAAGAGATACTGGCTTACTCAGTCTCTCAATTAGTACCCCTGAATCACACACTCTTTTTGCAGGCACCACTCACTCTGTTCCGTTTTCTATTTCCTCCCCCACTCAGTCAAGTGTGTCTCAGTGTCCGTCCCAGGGTGGGTTGGGGGAGGGGCAGCGGCGGCTGTTGCCGCTGTGCTGGGTGAGCGCCCCATCTCACCTCGACTTCCAGCGCTGGTGCATACACACTCCTACTGGTGTCCTGCGTCTCAGGCGTCCGCGTCCTCCTCGCGTGTCCACCCTATCTCCCCAGTTTCAGGAAGGGCTTCTCGTTCCTTAAAAACTACAAATTCTCACCCCTCTTTGAACATTCCCTTACCGGACCTTTGGTGTGCTCCCTCCCTATTCTGCCATCTTCTCTCCCCATATTGTTTTTAGTTCTAGGCATTTATGCTAAGCAGAGTGAGAGGATGGAGAATACCAAGGTAGGATGGCCACAGTGGTAAGAGGTTGTGAGCTATGAGTTCCTTTGCGTGAAAGGCAAACTCCAAATAGGAATGCAAGTATTAGGACAGTGTTACATGAAGACATTAGAACTCAGGAGCCATACTGATACTATCTTGGAAGGGTTTTTAATACAAATATCAGATCAATACTCGTCCACCATGCCTCCTCCAGAGAACCTTCCTTGACCACTGCTGTCACTTTTTACCCTCCAGCCCTGTTTTTCTTATAGCAGCCGACATATCTTTTTTTTTTTTTTTTTTTTACAAGAAAAGACTAACCCTTTGGCAAAGAAATAGTAAAACATGGTAAACATCAAAAAAGCCCCAGATGACCAATACCATATGTGATTGAAGATTTTACAAAGATAAATGGTGAGAGGGCACAGGTAGACATCAGCTGTGGGCAGCATCTGGAGGCTCACTGTGGTTGTGATTCAGCACACTTGGCTCTCCCTGTTTAAGAAGGACCAAGATGCAAGTCCATGCTGTCTCTTAAGACATTGACAGTTTTCTTCCATATTCCTGTTTGCTAGCTCTGATTTCAGTTTTGTTCTTCTGAAATCAAGACAGTGTTATCTACTAGATAGGAATTTTAAATGGTTCCTTATTGTGTTTACATGGCTGCTGAACATCGCCCTCTACTGTTCCAAGGTGAATTATGGGGATTTGGGAAGTGCTTTGAATGTCATTTCATTTTTGCCCCCTCCGCCCCATTTTATTTCTGCTTCAAAGCAGAGAGTATGTAATTTCATATTACTGAAATCATATAATTGAGTTTAAGACTGAATAGTATATTAGATTGCTATTGTATTCTTGAACAAAGGCTTTTTAAGAAACTTACAATTGCCCTTTTCCTCATTTTCCAGTATTCTGAATTCTCTCACCTATTCCCACTGGAATATCTCAAGGAATTAAATTAGACAATTATTATATTTTCTGTTGTAGGTTTTAAATATAGCTCTACAAAGTCCATAGCCTCACATTTTAATGGAACAACCTCAGCTGTCACTCCCATGGTATCCGTCTCCACCACCACTGTTCTTATTTTCTCATTGCTGTCATTCAGATCTGTTCATGTTACATTATTGTACCTCCCAAGGTGTTTAGATTAACATGCTTCTGCCAAGTGAAATGAATATAAAATATATTGCCAGCAGTAGTGAACTGATCAGTCTTGAGTTGGTCTCTTAGCTCTCATGGCCTGTATTATTACTTTTACTCTTAACCACTCCCTATCCATGAATTCCACAGCTGATTCTTCTGTTTATTCATCTTATAACAATTCATTCTTCTAAGTGTTAGGTTGTTCCAGGCATGGAACAAAATAATACTAATAATAATTAAAAAAAATCTGACCTTTCCCATGTGTGAGAGAAAGGAAAAAATAATCCCAAAGAAAAAGATATAATGTCAGGTGCAATAAAGAAAACTGCAGGCAGGAGGGTAGAAAGTGACAGCAGTGGTCAAGGACAGGTTCTCTGGAGGTGGCATCTGAGAAGAGCCCTGTATGACGAGGAGGAGCAGCCGTGCTTACGTCCAGGGGAAGAGTGCTCTAGATGGCGAGATTGATGAAGGCAGAGCTCGGAGAGGAGTGTAGTTTCAACAGGTGACTGGGATGCATGAAACACTGCTGAGGGTGAACATGAGAGGCGAATGAGGAGGCGCAGGAGCTAGGACTGAGGGAGAATGGCCAGCCTCATACGAGGTAGGGGACAGTGACGTGACCGCGGCCACTGTGAGAGCACCGCTGCCTGTGATTGAGAAGAGACTGTGGGGAAAAGCTCTTTGGACCCTGAGAAATTAGAATGTGGTTGACTCACGTGATAGAAGACTGAATCCAAAGGCCCACTCTTGCATGAGAAGATGTAGCTGCTCCAATTTGCTAGGAAGGGAGGTCATGAAAAATGAGAGGGATTGATGTTTTATTTACTCAGGGTGTAATTCCCACCCCCCTCGCCGATAATTAAAATTGACCAAAAAGCTATGGGGTACAGTGTTGGAAAACAGTAATAGGAGAAAGTTCAGGTGCTTCCTAAGTCTATCTACCAAATGCAAACCATTTTTGTTTCCCTCTCCTTGTTCTCCACCATCATCATCTATCTAAGACTGAATGATCGGGGAGGAAAGTAAGACCCAGTGCTCATTAGATTAGTGAGCAGGGTTACCTTGGGACAGACCTGCTATCATGGAGGAAGCTGGGAGGGAGGAGGGGAAGTCACTTGTCTTGAAGGAAACTGCAACATCAGAAAGGCTGATGGCATGTGTGAGTTTTTTGTATGTACACGATCTCTTTAGAGAACGGGCACTGATGAGAGGTAAACAGAAGCGTGTTTGCTGTTTTCTGCAGGAATGTGGAGTGTAACAAAAGGAATCGCTAGGGCCAAGGAGCAAATATAGAATCAGTCCTGTTCACACTTGCCTCTGTAGGATATAAATTGCCGTTGCAAAACAAAAACAGGAAGCCATTTGTCCATGTATATCTAGAACTATAGAAAGAAATAACTGGAAGTGGGCATTTGGCATAGTGATTCAGACACAGTGATTCACTCAGGCGAGCCTGAGTTCAATTCCTGGCCCTGACCCTGATTCCAGCTTCCTGCTAATGGAGGCTCTGGGAGAAAGTGGTAATGGACCGAGTGGTTGGGTCCCTGTCATCCATGTAGTGTGTTCTCACTTGGCTTCAGCTCAGTCCCAAACATTGTGGGCATTTGAGAAGTGAACCAATGGATGGGAGCTTTCAATTGGTCTCTATGCTTTCTGCCTTGGAAAATTTTAAATAAGAAATATCTGGGTGATACATTTTAAAATGTCATGGTAATGAATACTGTGTCACTTTTATTTATCAAGAATTGGAGGCTGACTGCATGCTTACCACAAAAGTGCTTCAAAAAGTTTGTGGAAAAATGAAATTAACTTTGGTACAAATTTTAAAATCCATGCATAGTGTTTTCATAATATGTATTTCCCATTAACGTTTTGAAGTACCCACATAATTACAGCTTAAAGGGCTCCCTGCTTAACTGTAGTCTAGCAAACAACTATGTTGGCATAGGGTTTTTTTTTTTTTTTTTTTTTTTTTTTTTTTACAGGCAGAGTGGACAGTGTGAGAGAGAGAGAGAGAGAGAGAGAGAGAGAGAGAGAGAGGTCTTCCTTTGCCATTGGTTCACCCTCCAATGGCCGCCGTGGCCAGCGCACTGCGGCCAGCACACCACGCTGATCCGATGGCAGGAGCCAGGTATTTATCCTGGTCTCCCATGGGGTGCAGGGCCCAAGGACTTGGGCCATCCTCCACTGCACTCCCTGGCTATAGCAGAGAGCTGGCCTGGAAGAGGGGCAACGGGGACAGAATCCGGCGCCCCGACCGGGACTAGAACCCGGTGTGCCGGCGCTGCTAGGCGGAGGATTAGCCTAGTGAGCCGCAGCGCTGGCCCTGGCATAGGTTTTAACTACAAACTACCCTGGTAGTCATTTGCCTGATTTGAGCATCCTTTCCTAAGTTTGTTAATGTGTGAGCTCTGCCTTGATTTTTTTTTTAAAGCATTTGGTCTTTTATTGGGTTCTCAAGAAGAGACAGGGAGAGGCTTACCTTGGGACTGACTAGTCAAGAGGAGCTGTGCTCTGTTTTAGAATGTCTTCCCATCCCATGATGTGTCCCTCTATTAACTGACTGGATACCAAGAGGCCCTTTGTCCTTGATGACTAATTGCTGGCCTGAGTCATCTTTTAAAATAAAAGTTTGATTCTTAAATTTGGAATGTCTTTAAAAAAATCCAGGAAAGGAAAATATAGTAGTAAAAAGACTTGGATATTCACTAAGAAATTTTTAATCCACACTTATGAATCAAATGATGCAAATCAAAACAGATACACACAATTAGAATAAAAATGATTTGTGTTTGCCATCAAGTTATTTACAAATAACCCATATGAAAATGTAAAAAAGCATATTACATCCTCACATGCCATCCATCTTAACTGAATAAAGCTTAGTGACATTAATTGCAAATCTGCAGTTAATTGTACATAGACATTTTGTGCATTAAAAAAGAAATGTACATAATTTAAAATAAATTACATTACATAATTTACAAAGGAACAAAAAATTCTTACAGTTGCCTCCCTATTTAAACAAAATAAATATATAGATAACAAAAAATACACATTTAGTGGATCATAATTTATAGAAAGATTGCAAATATAATAACGTTATATTTTACAACAGATACTGATCTCTTCAAATGTCTGTGATAGAAATGGACAGGAAAAAGTACCAGAAAGGGAATTGAAATGTTTTCTAGAAATAAACACAGATTTCTGAAATATAGCTGGGCAAAATAATTAAGGGTTAAAAGTAGATAGTCTTTTTAAAACTATTACCTAAAACTGCAGAACATAACAATAAAACTGACTGGAGTTCTCTGATCACTGAAAACCTGACTCCTACAACCTATCTTACGCTGCCTGTTTTAAGACATAGCTTGGTAGAAGCATGAAAAAAATTTGCAAAATTCTATTTAAGATCTTAAAACTTATTTAATGTAGATATAACCATTTTTCAGTGTCCCTGTTAGGTATAAAATTGTCACATATCTCTGCAACACATCCCTTTTATGAGGGATGCTTTGGTCCACACTCCAGTTTTGGATGCGTAAAGTTCTGACCCGCAGCCAGGACCGACTGTGGATGGGAGCAGGTGGGCCTGGATTACCTGAGCAGGCTGATGGGCAGTGCTCAGAGCCAGACCAGAACTGGGAAAGATCACGCTCTGATGAGATCCCCACAGAATGGTTCCTGGACTGCTGTCCTTTCAATAGTCTCAATCTCGGAGGAGAAATAGATCAAGAAACGACCCACTTGAATTTGGTGAAACTTAACCACCAGGGAGATCTCTGTCATTTGAGAAGCGTGATTCTTGGGAAACCTTACCTCCAAATGCTTGTAAGCATAGGCTTCCTTTCTGAAAGCATCGAGAGGGGCTGGCTCCCCCCTTAGTCTTGCAGGGTGAACAGACTCAAGCTGCCGTAGCAGTAGCAGGATACCGAGCAGAGCTATAGCAAGTGCTGGAATTGTCATTTATACAGAAATGGTCTTTTTGTCTTTGGCATGCCTTCTACATTGTTTTGCTGTTATTCATTTCTTTTACCTGTGCATGATGTTTAAAACATGCTCACGCTGTGACACTTTGATTCCGATAGGAACTATTATAGGTGTTCTCATTTTTCTTATAAAAATTTGATATATTTAATGAAGGGTATTTTTGAAGGAAGGAGACAAAATCATTGGTTAACAGGAGACCAGAGTGGGGGAGAGACTAGGTGCAGAAATCCTCATACAGGAGCAAGGATTCAGGGAGTAGGAAGAGGTAAATCAGTGTATGAGGGGCTACTTGCTTTCTATGAGAAGTGACTTCATCTTGAAATGTCCAGGAACCTAACAGATCTGATTAAGACATAGTGATCATTGCCACCTGCCTTCAGGGTAGAATAGGAAAAATAAAATCCCTAACCACACAGCCCAAGATACGTACACTAAATATGGAAAAATACTAACCACCTTTAAAAGTAAATTTAGAGTAAAAGGCAGTGTGTTCAAGCACTATCTTAAGAACTTTTATCCTTCTTCAGAATGTCTTAAGTTCTTGTGTATAAAAAAGCCATTGCTAATATTTTTACAGTGCCTAGCAGAGTGTCTTACCTGTAATAATTCAATAAATATTTGTCTTGTTATAAGTAATTTGTGCTTCTTATAAAGGATTAAAAACATGCTTTAATGCACTCCTTTTCAATTCCTGTAGATCACTGTAATGTCCTCAAAAAGGCTTTTAAATAAGGATTATGGTGAACACGTTGGAACAGGTATTGATGAAAAAGCAAACCAGCCCCTTTAAGAGATCAGTTATGCCACTTGTACAGTTGCTACGGAGATGAACAAAATCATAATACTGCATCAATTTTTTATAAAATCAAACAGACCTTCATACTTTGAGTAATTGTAAATCTTTTAGGACTCAGACCATTTGATAAGGCAAAGTGTCACTAGGAGAGTTATTACTTTATTCCTCTTGTGAATTCTTAGAATAAATACAAATAACATTTTGATGAAATTCCAATGAAATATTGAACTCACTAACTGATGCCAGGAACTAACAGGACAGTTTGAAGTTATAAACGTGATTACAGTAACCTCCCATTTGTCCACAGTAGCTGAACAGCTACATTACCCTCATATTATCTTTCCAATCAGAATGAACTTCCAATATGTTCCCTGGTGTTAGGTCATATTAACCTTAGTTCCTTCCATGTATATGGTGCTGTAAAATGTAATCAAATTATGAATAGAAATATCTTGTATAACATTTCATAATTTTCTCTTAATTCTTATAATATAGGTGGGATAAAGTGGTATCCAGAATGAATGTTGTTTTTACAATAATCTAAGGGTAGCTTTATTTGGAACAATATTATTTTCCCTATTTCAAAATCATTAGGTGTGGCACATATTTCATGAGTGTCAGCTGAACGTTTTAAAAAAGGCCACAACTCTGACTATATATATGCATTGACAATTGATTTTAGATTTTAAAATTTTTAACTTTTGATTTTAACATTATTTTTGTCTTCCTCAACAATAACAGATGAGATGAATTTGTATTTCCTTGTTGAAATCCTTGGTTTAAAGTAAAATTCTCATATTCCGAACTACCTGTTGTCTTTGAAGAGATTTAAATTGTCTAACATAGTGACTACTGAATAGGGAATTAGTGCTTTATGCTTATTTCAACAGAATTGAACTGAGTAATTTTTTGCAGGGGGATGAGGGGGGCAATGACATCCTTATCTGACGTTCTGATCATCTTTGCAAATATTCTAAATGAACAGCAGGGGGAGTTGAAACTCTAGTATGAAAGTAAAATACTTCACAATTCAAATGACTTTTACAGCAGCATACTATGTGTAAGATTTAATAGCTTGTTTTAAGACCTGAAACCTAATGTCCTTCCCTCTCCCATGTTGTCTGAAAGATGGTACTGCCTTTTAATGGCACCATTTGAATTTTCTTTTCATACTAAAGAAGTCTGTTAGGTTAGAAATTTTTCACTGTGCCATTCCCAGGGCTGAATCTGTGAAAAATACAGCTACTTCCAACAGAGTGGTATACTTGATGAGTGAAGTTTCACCTTTGAAATTAAGTGCTAAGCACAAGCCAATGAAAAGTAAAGGTGACACAGTGACGAGTGATCCATGAAAACCATCAGCACCAGGGTCTGTGCACTAAGACCACAATTGCAGTCTGATGGCTGTTTCCCAGTAGAACTTTGAAGAAACAGACATGTTTGTTCTTTAACCTATTTGCATTGTCTATGACTGCAACACACACCTGGCTGAAAGTATTTACTATCTGGTCCACTGGAAAAGTTTACCATCCTTGATCTAGATATTTAATGAAGCCTTGGACAAGATAGTCTTTCTAAAGACTTTAGCTTTGGAAACCATACATTGAAAAGACTGGTTCACATTTTACCAGTAAGAAAGACATAAGACCATGAATTTTGAGGTACTGCCTGTAAGGCAGACATTCAATATGAAACTGGGAAAGCATGTCAGTGAGAAATTGACACATAACTGTGATTTCTTTTCATTACAAAACCACTGTAACATTATTTTCTGCATCTGCTTGCAATTAAAAACACAACCAGTTCCCTTTTTTCTTTTTTCTTTTTTTTTAACAAAGATAACAAATATAAAAATCTAGCCATAAACAGCCTTCAAAGATCAATTACAAACCAAGTAGAGGAATCCACCTTTAGGACAGCTAATGGGTCAAGGACTTCAACACTTAAATCATCGCCATGCTATAATGTCCCAATGGCTGCAAAGATAAGGAAGAGAGTAGACAGCAGGTGTAAGAGCTGATGACATTCTGTGGCCATCCAGTCTGACTCTTGCCCTCGTCAGGATACCTGCAGATGTCTTCATCCCGATGAAAAGAGGCAGTTTGTATGGCAATACTGGTTAAGTGCATATCATGCTGCACTAATATAGTGCAAAAATGTGCCTTTCATATAGCAAAAAGATGCAGGCAACCAGTTTGAAAACTAGAGAAAGTATAAATGTATTAACACAAGCCGCAATCAATTTTCCAGACGATAACCACTATAAAATACTGAACTTGAGGACTCTTTCTTCTAACATACTAGAACATGTCCAACATTCGTACTTTGGAGAGAGACAAGAATGAGGTCTTACAAAAGAGTCTTGGTCTCCTAAACGAAGGTCAATACAAGTTACCATCAACCACCAAGATGTTGAATTCATTCCACAAGTTTTCTGCTGAGTTTAGGTCTGTCTTATTCACTGTTAAAGTTGCTTATTAACAAGTACATAATCTGACATAATGTATATCATTCAGCTGAGTATATGTGTTATACTTGGTTAAATTATTGCAGAGCTCTTGATATAAACTCTTCATGCTAGAAAGTTCTATGGGTTAACATTGCAGGCAGTCTTGCACCAGGGATCCTAACTGGCCAATTCCACCACTATGCTTCAGAGATGAAAGTTGGTCTTCATATGGTAGATTTTAGAGAAGATGACATCATACCCTCAGAATGCAGCATGTATTCAACTAAATCTCCCAGAATTCCTAGAGTTGATGGTTTACGTGTAAGTGCTGCTATCTTGAATATCCCTAGTGGCAGTGTGAGCTTGAATCTTGATGCTCTTTTGAAAAGTTAAAAGGTATCTCAATGCACACAATTTGGACACTTTCATTGTGGTCTCTGGAGTTCTACTTCACAGTGAGAAACACAAAACTGGCGGTAGGCAGGAAAAGTTGTATGTTACATGTCTGCATCTCCATCATAGGCTAAGGTTAATGGTTTCAATCGGTTGTTTTGCCTTCTTTGAGGTTTCTTTGGCTTTTTACTGTAAAAAGAAAAGCATACAAATTGAGAAAAAGAAAATCAATCTTCAACTGTAAGTTTTATTGTTTTACATGAAAAGAAAAGCAAATTGCCCAATTGGATTTTTATGGTCTGTTTGGATTTCAGTTTTCTGTGCTGAAAAACTCAACTATTGTACTATATTATAAAAGATAAATTATATGAGTGGAACTCTTTAGTACTAATAGAATAAACATACCATAATCATTTGTATCTAGAAACTTTTGTAAATGTATAATTGATAAATAATATGTTTCAGAAGATAATTGAATTAAGAGTAGGTACTACCATAGTACCTTCTTCCAGTTGTAATTAAATGTAAAATTGTACAGTTCACCATAACCACCCAAAGCAACATTCTCTTGCATACTTCAGAGAACATACTTGGAAGATGGCCTGGAACAGTCCTGGCTCCTTTTCAGAAACACAAATGGTTCAGATTTGGAAGTTTTTAGGTCATCTAGGATGAAAGCTGTGCTACTTAGACTTTCTGTGAGCACTAAATAGACTTGAAATACATAGAAGGGGGATACAAAAAGTTCATGGAAAATTGTTGGAAAAATGTTAATCGATGCAGTTTTCTTACATTTCCATGAATTTCTGAAGATCTTTCATATCTGAGACATTAGTTGGCTGTGCCTGTGTTACGGCCAACTGCAAGTGTTGTTTCTGAAACAGGCACTGGGTATCCCCTTAGATTTTGAAATATTTAAACACTCACCAAGCTAGATAAATCATGGAGACAATAAAGATGAGCAATACAAACGCCCCAGCTGCTACACCGTAAACCCAGGTCTTTAGTCTCCCATCTAAGAAGAACAAATATGAGTTATTAATTTATATCAGCCTGACATATATATGACAGCCTTTAACTATGACCAATATGACCAATTCTTTTCCAAATTCAACATGAATGGCTTTGGCATCGTTAATGATTAATGTAAAGCTGCTCTTATTAGTTAGATATTGCTTCACTAAGGATAAATGAGCAATGAAAATTGAATTGAAAACTGTTTGAGCCCAAATTCCATGTTTATATGTGTAAACTTCTAATGTTTCTGAATTTGACTTCAAATCTGATACAGGAGCAATGGTCAATAAAAATTTTCTTCTAATCTATTTGAAAATGGTATTTGTAATAAAAGCTGAAAAATGAGTTCTACAGTCTAGAATTGATGTAGACAGGTATTTGAACACAAAGTGTCCTGTAAGTGTTTTTGTTGTTAGATGAAAGGGAATATATTTAATAACTGTGATTTAATAAAGTCTAGTCTACACTTACGGTGTGCTATAAAACTAGTTGGACAATATTATTTGCAAACAGACCATTTTGAGTAGCACAAAGTGCTCTCTAAACAACTTCTGTTGTCGACCTTCTTTGTTACATGGAATCAGGTATGACAAGAACTTTTCTGAGTTTTCTGGCCTCATTTGCTTTGAGTTTCTCAGTTTTATGGTGTGGATAAACAAGATGCTATGATGCTGTCGAACTTAATTTGGTCTGCACATCTACATATACTTTGTTACATGCATATACTAAAATGACATTCATGTTAAAACTGTAGATTCGGGGGCCAGCACTGTGGTGTAATAGGTTAAACCATTGCTTTTGATGCTGGCCTCCCACATCAGAATGCTAGCTAGTTTGAGTCCTGGCTACTCCATTTCCAACCCACCGTCCTGCTAATTTGCCTTAGAAAGCAGCAGAAGGTGGTCCAAGTACTTGGGTGTCTGACCCTCATGTGGAAAACATGGATCCACCTTTAAAATATTTAAAAATACTATATTATTCAATATATGAAAGACATCAGAAGCACATGGGTACTGTGGAATCTTGCTTGTCTGGGTCTGGATCAATTTACAGGTTCATTTGCTAGACATAACCTCAGTTAATATTCTAAATTACTTTTTAACTCCTAAAGATGTTTTAAACATTTGGAGAGAAGTTTAGAATCCAAAGAATTTTTCCATTATTGGATCTCTCTATCCTGAAGGTTATTCAATTAATATTCTTGAGGTTTTTCATAAAGAATGTCTCAGTGGGTGAACCAATGGCAAAGGAAGACCTTTTTCTCTCTCTCTCTCACTGTCCACTCTGCCTGTCAAAAAATAAAAAATAAAAAATAAAAAAAAGAATGTCTCAGTATACTTTTGCAGAATATACACCTTTTTAATACTTAAGTTTTTACATTGGGAGAATTTTATAAATACATGTGTTGGCATAATATCCTTTTTAAAAAAATTGATTTGATACAAGGATATATGCTTGAATTCCTGGTCAAGGCCAAGATTGTTAATGGTCATTTACTGGTCTGCTGTCTTGATCATTGACAGAGTTTCCTGTGCTTATCAGACAAGTTGTCTTTGAGAAAATCATATTTTCAGCCAAGAACTTAATGAAGTCAGGGATAATGTGATTAAAAGCTAATCACCCAAATATTTAAAATACTTTAAAAATCCAATACCAATTCTTGAACAAGGGAAGACATTTTGACTTATTGTATTAGAGAGATGGGCCAGGTATGCAAATTCACCCCTCCCCCCCACCACCACCATGTTTCTAATGAATCAGACTACACCTGGCTCCTCCTAGAGCTTTCCTTTGCCATGACCTGGTCATTCTGTAGGAAGAGGAAAAACTTTCATAATCTTAGTTGCTAAATAGCCTGTGTACCAGATTTTCAGGCTCCAGGTTAGTTCTAGAGATGAGTGTAAAATTCACTCCAGCTGAGGTGAGTATGCAGCGTAGAGAGCAGCATTTCATCATGCCTTCAAGCCTATTATAGGTACACTAAGACCTATCTAAATGGAAAGTTTTGACCATGCCATTCATAAGAGAAGGTTCCATCCTTAGCCCTGTGGGTAGATGGTCCACATTTGCTAATTCTCTGGATTGAGATGGATTGGTCTAAGTGCCATCTGGCACTGGAGTATATTACTAATCATTAATAAGGATTCTGAAATTTGTTTCCACTGATTTTAGTTCTGAATGACAATATACCTTTTTCCCAACATTTCCTTTGTTAAATTTCTTCATTCAATGTGAAATTGATTATACTTGTCACTTTAGGACTGGAATTAAGTAATATCAATCCTCAAATTTTTCCCAGGAGAAAGTAATTTCATTTCTCTGAACTTGAGCTGGAGTGCTTTCTCAGAATAATGCAATGAAGGTGTTTGGATATCGGAGCAAATGAATATAGACGGAAATCATGCATCATGCATGTGAATCTGCTTGCTCATTTCCTTAATCTTTTGGCATTTGCTAAATGTGCAACTAAAAAATTCTGTCCAGTCATTTCACCTGGCCCAAAGGGCTGCAGAAACCAGGTCCTTCCCCGTCCTGCCGGGCGACTGGAGGGTTGTGTGGGGTGGACGGCTCGACTGGTTTTCACATCGCCCCGTTTGTCCTCCACGGTGGGTATGGCCACCACGGGGATGAGTGTGCACTGCTCCAGTGTGCTGTTCGAAGACATGACTTCAGTGTAGCCCTCTTCACAATGGCACGCTTTTGTCTGCAGGAGAATGAGAAGACTGACACTAGGCATGCAAAGTGATCTTTGAAAACATGAAACCAGACATGAAGCAAAGATTAAAAAAAAATTGGGGAATTTGTTGCATGTGATTTCTGTCTTAACACATAAAAAGACTTTTTTGCATTACACATAATTAATCTAAAATTAAAAGCAAGTACATTCAGAATTGTTAAAAAGGAGAGGTCTAACAATTGAATTTTTCTGCTTCAAGACATGCTTTTTCCAGGGGGAGGGGCATGGACTGCACAAGAGGACAGTGGGGTGACGGATGAGGAAGCGCTTGTCTACCCTAATGGATTTACACATACCTCGCTACAGTACGAGTGGGGTAGACTACACGGTGGGTTACAAGACCTGTCAGCATCAGGCTGGCTCACCACCAAGCAGCCCCCTGCAGAACAGAAAATCATATTTTGACAAATAACATGTCTTGCTATGATTAAAAATGCTGTTATAGACTTGTCTTCGAGTCCTGAAGCTCTTTGGGAATCCCACAGATTTTTCTGTCTATGAAATACTTGTTTAGCCTTGACAACCTCATTTAGCAACTCCAGGCCCTTCTTTCTCAGACAGCACAGTGTCTGGCACTTAGTAGGTGTTCAATACACGTTTGGGAAACAGTTTATTTTTTATAGCTGCTATTTTGAAACTACTAACAGCAAATAACCTACTTCTGTCAGCTCCTAAAGTTGTGTCTGCCATAAAAAGTAGACTTAATATTCTTGATAAGTTCTTTTGTTGGCCATTCAAAATCATAGTTTTATGTCTCTTGCCTGAGGTAGCTCCTTAAGAGAGACCATCCTATAAATATGTATTTTCATAACACCTCTCTTTGATAAAAGTTACTATTACTAATAACTCAGGATGCTTTTCAGGTGCATAGAAGAAAAAAATGCAGCTATTTATCCCTTCTTCAGTACAAGTCCACCTGTGCTTAAATTGTTGGGAGGTTATAAGATGTTAATATATGTCAAGTAGTATTAGTGACATGGAAGCAACTCATAGTTTTAAACTATTCTGATTCAATGCAACACGTTTTTAGCAAAGCAAAATTCTCCTTTTATTTGTGGAACTGATGATTGTCAAGGTGCAATAGAAGGTACCTATTCATTCTTGGTCCTCCTCTCAATATTACAAACACAAAATGGTCCATGGAAAAATTGTTAAGGAAAAGCGGCTAGTCATTGCAAGGCAACTGCAGAGAAGTGCCGTGTAAGCGATTCTCATTAAACATGAGAAGACAGAAAAGCTCAATCTTCATCTAGGACAATTCATAAGTGAAAGCAATTATTCCAGATAGTTGATACACTGCACATGCTTGCCTACTTCTCAGAGAATCTCCACTCTCCTAGAAGATGTTAGAATTCACGCTGAGTTTACAACAAATCACTGGCACATGGACTTTTTGTTACAAAACAGTATTATAAAGAATGAGTAAATGCACTCTACACTTAGTTGAAATGATACTGAAAACATATCTACAGGCACGTCTTCAAAGTTTGACTTACCTTTACAGAGGGAAATAGCGTCAGTTGCAGTAGGAAAAGAGCTTTCACCATGGAGAAGAAAAGTTAGGCAAATTTGCTTTCATCCATATTTGGAAAAAAAAAATTAACAGCCTCCCCAGAGGGTCCATTTAGTTGTTAAATATCAGACATTGATTTCCAACTTGCCAGTTGAACAAATAGCCCTGTGACACCTTCCCGTGCAGAAAGTTGTGCTTCCCGGTCCAGGGCTTTCCTCCTACCCTTAGAAAAAGGCGATTAGGAAGGATTTCCCACCGCCTCCTATGCTGTTGAGAGAACAAAGGGCTAGGGTTTCTTAGGTCCACTGGGACCCGCTATTATCAAGGATTTCTTGATAAAGCTTTCTCATGTATAAAATTGTATCTTCACAAAAATGGAATGCGACATCCTGCTCCAGCTTTTATAGGGAGGAGATAAGCAATTAGGTTTCAATAAATCCAGGCAATTTATATTTCAATATAAAATTGATGCTTTTCAAAAAGCGTATTGATCTTGGCTCTTGCTATCTTCCTGTGTATATTAAGTATACAAATGTGTGCTATTCAGAAGCATCCCAATGTGTGTGGTTTCTTCCCTGCAGGAGAGCCAAAACAGCAGGAAGTCAGCAGGAGCCCCTGAGCAGTTCAGTCCTGCTGCCAGTCAGCTGTGAAGATGGCCACAGGCTAGATCTGTACTTGGGAGCTGTTTAAGGGGAGAGATTCGATTTTTGGGTCCATGTACTTGAGGTTGAGGTTGAGGTTCTGATATTAATTGCTTTGCAGGAAATTTGCAGGGTGGCTTACTGCTTATCTGGAGCTAGTGTTTCTTTGCTTTTCAAGGAGTACTTGTTCAGATAAAGAAATTTTTAGTAATTGAGATTAGGTTTTTTGGAGGTGTATATTTTAGACAAAGTAGAACTGATAAAACTTTGCTTTAGATTCCTTTTTTGGGTGTATAATAACTTGGGGTGGGGACATAGTTCCTCAGAAGCTCTGGGTCTGACATTCACCAATAGGTCCTCCCTATTAATAAAAAACCACTATCATATGTTTCTGAATTAAAGCAAGATATTTATATAACTATACTACCTCACTGATATTTTTGGTCTGCATTTGTTGTTTTCAATGCACAGAAACATTGATATTTTAAAACATGTAGTGATTCCTTAATGTATAAACCTAGGAAAAACAATATGAAAACTATTGTAATAACTATTTATGAACATTTGATCATATTTTAAGCTTTTGGAGCAATACCTAAAAGAGTTAGGAGAAGGAATCTGAAACATTATACAATAAAATGTCACTGGTCACCAGACGTAACTACAGTTGAGGTGTCCTGAATCCCAACCACATGTTGAATGTTCAAAGAACAAAGAATTCTTGGAGCTTTACCTGTGACATTTACACCATCTGATCTTTGACACCAGACTGTTCGGGAAGAGCCCTTCCAAGCACTGGCCATCCATTTATACTCATAACACTGCCCATCTGTGGGGACACAAAAGCATCGGCGTGTTCTGTCACTCAAAAGGGCAATCAGGAGGATAGAGGAATTGATAGAATGTTTATGATCAAATTGCTTTCTTCTTGTTAGGGTATTTCCTGAAAAGTAACTTTTCCATATTAGTAGTAATATATAATTTATGATTGGTATTATAAATCATTAAAATGTGTCATTGGTCATTTCTAAATCATACCTATCTAACCATCCATCCAAAAGGTGACTTCAAAAAGATAAGTTTATTTTGGTACAAAAAGTGCTAGAAATCCACACATCATTTTTTCTTTTTTTTTTCTTTTTTTTAACTTTATTTAATGAATATAAATTTCCAAAGTACAGCTTATGGATTACAATGGCTCCCCCCCCCCAATAACGTCCCTCCCACCCACAACCCTCCCCTTTCCCACTCCCTCTCCCCTTCCATTCACATCAAGATTCATTTTCGATTCTCTTTATATACAGAAGATCAGTTTAGCATACATTAAGTAAAGATTTCAACAGTTTGCTCCCACACAGAAACATAAAGTGAAAAATACTGTTTGAGTACTAGTTATAGCATTAAATCTCAATGTACAGCACACTAAGGACAAAGATCCTACATGAGGAGTAAATGCACAGTGACTCCTGTTGTTGACTTAACAAATTGACACTCTTGTTTATGGCCTCTGTAATTACCATAGGCTCTTGTCATGAGCTGCCAAGGTTATGGAAGCCCCCTGAATTCACTGACTCTGATCATATTTAGACAAGGCCATGGTCAAAGTGGAAGTTCTCTCCTCCCTTCAGAGAAAGGTACCTCCTTCTTTGATGACCCGTTCTTTCCACTGGGATCTCACTTGCAGAGATCTTTCATTTAGGTTTTGTTTTTTTTTTTTTTTTTTTTTTTTTGGCAAGAGTGTCTTGGCTTTCCATGCCTGAAATACTCTCATGGGCTTTTCAGCTGGATCCGCATGCCTTAAGGGCTGATTCTGAGGCCAGAGTGCTGTTTAGGACATCTGACATTCTATGGGTCTGCTGTGTATCTCACTTCCCATGTTGGATCATTCTCTCCCTTTTTGATTCTATCAGCTAGTATTTGCAGACACTATTCTTGTTTATGTGATCCCTTTGGTTCTTGGTCCTATCATTATGATCAATTGTGAACAGAAATTGATCACTGGGACTAGTGAGATGGCATTGGTACCTGCCACCTTGATGGGATTGAATTGGAATCCCCTGGTATGTTTCTAAGTCTACCGTTTGAGGTAAGTCAGCTTGAGCATGTCCCGAATTGCACATCTCTTCCCTCTCTTATTCCCACTCTTCTATTTAACAGCAATCACTTTTCAGTTAAGTTTCAGCACTTAAGAATTGTGTATTTCTCTCCATGACCTTTTTAAGGATCTATCTCAGAAAGAAATGCTACTTGGGGTCCTTAACAATTTAAATTTCTCTTGGATGAAAAATTTTGCAATTAGAGTTCCAGCCCACAGTCTTCTGTAACACATGTTTTCTAAGGTTGTACTGCCTTCTTCTGGAACCTTATTTATGATGTCTTTCACTGTGTAGATTTAGATTTCAATTAAAAATTAAAATCATATGCTGTTGGTATCACATTTAGAAAATATTGAGTTCAGAAAAATATCTTCTTACATTTTCTTTAGATATTTTATAGTTTTGTTCTCATCTTTAGGACTAAAATTTATGTGAAATATAGACTTTCATGATGTGAGGTAAAGATACTTTTGTAAATTTCATATGGATAACAAATTGTGGCAAAATATTATCTGTTCATTCCCCCACTGACTCTCACTCTGCCACTTAACCTGTACCTGTGAATTATTCTGAGATTCACTATTCTAAGCCTAATTGTGTTATTATCGACCACTTCTTTAAACTACTAATGCTTTAGAGTAAATTTGATATTAAAGCCATCTAAGTCCCTCAACCTTTTTCCCATTTTAAGAAAAATCCTGAGTGCTTTCAGTCTTTAACCTCTCCAAACTAAATTTAGAATCAATTTGTTAAACTGCATTAACAATCTGTTCAAATTGCATGGAATTTATATGTAAATGATTATAAAATTGTTGATGTGATGTTGCAAGTTACATAAGAACATGGTATGTCTTATCAGTTCTTTGCTTTTAACAAGGTTTATTTTTTTTTTAAAAAAAGATTTATTTATTCACTTGAAAGTCATGGTTACACAGAGAAAGACAGAGATCTATCTATCTTCTATCTGCTGTTTTCACTCCCCAAATGGCTGCAACAGCTAGGGCTAGGCCAGGTAGTTTCAGGTCTCCCAGGTGGGTGCAGGGGCCCAAGCAGTTGGGCCATCCAGCACTGCTTTCTTAGGCTCACTAGCAGGGCGCTGGTTCGGAAGCAGAGCAGCTGCGACTGGAACTGACGCCCATATGGGATGCTGGCATCTCAGGCTTTACCGGCTAAGCCAGATGCTGGCTCCTTCTAAAGAGATTTTATAATTTTTCCACACAAACCTAATAATATTTTTCTTATATTTGTTTCAAGTTAGTTTTATTTCTATTAATATATTTTTTGCCAAATTCAACTTTATAACTGAGACTTGCTGGTAAAAGAAAGGCTAAAGGCTAATTATTTTGTATTTTGCTTTTGAATCAAAATGTTTCTGAACGTTTTTATTTCTGTTCTACAAATTACCTTGAGCTTTTTAAGGTAAAAGTCATGTCATGAGAATAATCTTCTTACAATTATTTAAATGTTGTACATACTTCGGCACACTTGGTTGGGAAAAAGTGGCAACAGTGGACATCTTTTTATTGGTTGAAAAAGAATATCTCTAAGATTTCCACATATGACCATGGTATTCTAAGTTTTAGTAGATATTATTTATTGGATAAGGGATTTCCTTATAGTTCAAGTTTGGTTTGCAAGATCTGATGACAAATGAGGGTTGAATTCTACAGTTTTTCAACATCTAAAAATCATACTGATTACAATGTGATGTACTACATTAATAGATTTGTAAAACTTAGGCATCTTTGTTCTGGATTTAATTATAATTAGTCATGGTTTTAATCATTCATAAAATGTAATGATTTTTGTTAGATGATATTTTATTAATTTTGACATCTAGTTTCATGGATAACTTTATTTACTCGAGTGTTCTTTGAAGGTTATACTGTCATTGGAGAAGTTTTATGGACATTCCCCCATTGATTGTTTTTTATTAGGATTTAACATAAATAGGAATTATCTGTTTCTTTAAATTTTGGTCAAATTCATAATTAAATTCACTCATGCTTTAATGGTGAGGATGTGTCAGTATATATATTTTATAGATTTGAATTTTAAGTTACAAATCCATGGTGTAGTTGCCTTTTTATTCTTGATAAATTATGATATTGAAACTTTATAAATAAAAACTGTTTATAGCATTATATTTCCTGAACTCTTCTCTTGGTAGTAGTACAGATTTTACTCTTTTATCATTATTAATTTTTGATATGAGGCTCTACTTAGGTCAGTCAAAACCACAAGTTATTGGTTTTGTTGATCTCTTGTTTTCTACCTCATAGGATTTGTACTTATCAGTATTGGTTGTATTAAATTTGTTTTTTTCTTTTTTGTAAAAAAATTGTTAAAAGCATAGCTCATGTTTAGCTTTTCTCCTGCAGTGTAGACATTTAAGACATTAGGTTCTCCTGTAAGTACTTCCTTGCTATATTCTACATATTGGCTAATGTGTAATAACTCCACAAGGTGCTTGCCATGTTTTTATTTCTGTAGTACATGAGGGTAATTGTTTTTAAAAGATTTTCTTTGTAAAAAGAGCACATTTCTTGTATTTTATACTTACAGTTTTAAGAGCATGATACTTCCCACCCTCTCCTCCCTCCCTCACTTCAACCTTCCCCTTTCTTATTTTCAATTTTTGCAATGACATTTCAATTTTCTCTATAGTCAAAAGCATAACCCTCCACTAAATACAGAATTCAAACAAGGGCTATATATATAATCGATCTCAAAATGTCAATTTTGCTCATATACATTACTTTTTTTTGTATTCTGTATATTATCACAAATGAGGGAAAACATATGTCTTTTTGGTACTGGCTGATTTCACTAAGCTTAATGGTTACCAGTTGCATCCCTTTTGTTGTGAGAGACTGGATTTCATTCTTTTTTTACAGCTGAGTAGTATTCCATTGTGTATATATACTGTAATACCTATTTCTTTACCTATTCTGACCCAGGCACCTGGAATTTTTTATCTAGTAAATTTAAGATTAAGCTGATTGGGTCATGTTATCTAATGTTTGGGTTACTCCATGTAGCCCATTTGGTTTATCTAAGCTTTCTACTCCAAACTTTCATTCAAAGGTAATATTTTGGCTCCTACTTGTTGTTATATGTCATTATTTTTGTTGCAGAACACAAGTTCATATCCTCCACTAGATTTCAATATTGAGACTTGCCCTGCATCTAAACAATGACATTTTAGCACTCCGCAGTTCTTGAATACAGCATGAATTGTTCTACATGTGTGTTTATATAAAGAAATATTCATATTCGTTCTACATCGAGTTAAAATTCATATAGTTCATCAATTTTTGAGAATATACTAAACGATCATTATTAGAAGGGTAAAAATAAAGTCTCAGCATCATTTAGCTCATAAAATTAGGAAACATTTTCTAGTATTTCACATTTAACTTATGGAAGGTGGATTTTTCATTCCTCTAAATCTTTAAAATTCAGAATCTTATTCTTAAGATCTCACTTAAGTAAACAAATCCTTGATTTTTCAATTTTAACAAATTCTTTATCTCTTTTTCTCAACACAAACCCAAAATGAATAGATTTCATGAACTGTTCACTCACCATCACAAGATTTTGTTTCTAACATCTGCTCTGGGCACAGATGTTGGTTCTCTAGTTCTTGTATAATCACCGCTCTAGATCGAACTTGTATCCCGCCAAAGCCTAGATCCTCGCCGTTCACACAGGTCAGTTGACACAGGCTCCATGAAGACCACTCCTTCAAGTAACAGTCACCTGCAAAACACCAAGTTATAGTGTATACTCAGAGACAACAGCCAGCCAGATAGTTAAATTCTAACCCCATTGGGCAATGTTTGTAAGTATGCCAGTCACACAATATTAATTTTGGACAGGATTTAATAACTGCAAAGTTTATATGTAACTTTTATGACCTACACATATTGATACTTTATGAATGGCTGTTGCTGGGCTATGTGATGATTAAGCCATAGTTTACATTTGCTATGGTTAAAGGAGCTCTGCCATTAGGATTCACCTTTTCAGAGGTAACAAATATTTGCTTAAAATCTACAAGCATTTTGTTATAATCGTTGTAAAGGGATTTTTTAAAGCTTAACTATATGCAGAAATTCTCAACTAGGTAATCATAATTTCAAATGGGCTTGAAGTCCAAGGGTGAGAAAGCTGGTGTCTGTTTTATTTCTATTCTGCCCAGAGGAGTGGATGGGAGAAGTGCAATTGAGCAGGTCCAACAGTGGATGTGATGCTTACTATTTCCAATTTTTTTCCATTTGCTCAAAATATAATTTATGAAAAAGCACATCATAAATGCATTGATGGCTTAACTTTCACAATCTGATTACCTGGAGATATGTATCAAGGAACTAAAATCAAGGAACAGACCATTTCCAGAATCTCAGCATGCAATCATACAATATATACTTTGTGTCTGTCTTCTTTCATATATTTTCTGTAGTGACAATTTGTTCATATTGATATACTTGATTCCACTGTATGAACATACCACATCTAGATACCTACTGTATTAATGGGTGTGTGGGAAGTTGTAAACCTTTCCTACTATAAGTCTTTTGATGAACTTACTAATGCATTTCTGTTGGGTGTATGCCTGGCAGTGGAATTGCTGGGCCATGATGCATCAATGTGTTCAACATCCCCAACATTTTGAAATCAGGAAAGACTTAATTGAAATACACCTTTCTCATATTCCTATCCATTATTCAGGACTGACTGCTTTTTATACTCTTCAGGGTATACAATTAACTATTATAGACACCAATCCATAAGGGGTTCCTATCATTTTAATTATCCTAGCCACATCACATGCATAATTCATATTGCCCCTTATTAGTATTGTGACCAAGATGACTAATATTAGCACAAGGTTGCCTGGCGATCTGAGTAATGGAAAAAGTCATTGGGCCCTGATTAAGAAATCCTGGCAGGACATGTTACTGACTCACAAGTATGATGGTAAAAGTGGTTTCTGTAGGTCTTATTGAAGAATACCATTTCAAAAATACACAACATTCCAGTTTGGGAAATGTTAATGAAAACTACCAAAAATTTAAGCCCTCTAAGAAGGTTTTAGGATATGCCACTTTTGGGTTATTCAGTTTTAATTAAGCAGGAAAAACATGCAAAGTTAAAGTTTTTAAATCCTGTCAAGACGAATGCAGTCTCATCTCAACCACAATAACTGCAAACTACTTGGAATATAGAACATACCTTTTCACTAGTGGCCTTTACACTGGTGCTTATTCTTTTTGCATTGTATCTTTTCTAGCACAACTCAGTGAATCTGACAACAGTAGTCTGAGTTTTATTATTATCCTAAAATCCAGGTCAGGCTTCAAAGATTTAATAATAGCAAATGAGAATGTGGAATTCCTTGTACTCAATATATTTTTATATTTTGATCATATAAACCATTGTAATAACACAATTACACCATGTTGCCAAAGACAAGACAATTAAATGCATGAGATGTATTTACCAATTCAGTGTTCCATGCTTGAAGGCTTATTAGTTCACATATTAGATTTCAAAACCCATCATCAGAAAAAACTAGCTAGAAAGGAACTAAAATGAATAATTATCATTTATGAGAGAAGATCAGCCTCCTTTTGAATTAATTAAAATGGATTTTGCCTTGTTGTATGTTAACCTGGGATCCTGTAGCTTTCCTTTGCATTATTTACTACAGATTATAGTCTTATGTTTATGTCACTATTATATTAGCAACTGCTTTTCCACTAGCAGGTAAGCTCCATGAAGCTAAGGTTTGTCTTCCACTGTAGCTTCAACCTCAAGCCCATGCCTAGTCTATAATTACTTGATAAAAAGGTAAAATGAGTGAGTGATGGTGCTGCAGAGGCATAATGAAAACATGTGGCATGTTTCTACAGTAAGGCATGCGTCAAAGCCTGGTGTCCACTCTACTCATTAACATACATATCACAATAACCCTATTACTGAGACACTGGAGATTGGGGTTTGGAAGAGTAAACCTTTCAGTTTTTAGCCTTGGTCACTTACTGTTGACTATCTGGCTATGTAGCATCCTGGATTCTGAAGATTGAGTCCCTTGCCCCTGCCTGGAGCCCTCAGGTGAAGTGAAATGATTTTATTAGATTGTGAAGGGTGCTAGAACTATGGTATAGTAGGTAAAACTGCCACCTGCAGTACTGGTATCCCCTCTGGGCATCGGTTCTAGTCCAGCTCTCTGCTATGGCCTGGGAAAGCAGTAGAAGATGGCTCAAGTCCTTGGGCCCCTGCACCCATGTGGGAAACCTTGAAGAAGCTCCTGTTTGGCCCAGCTCCTGCCATTGCAGCTATCTGGGGGAGTGAACCAGTGGATGGAAGACCTCTCTGCAACTCTGCCTTTCAAATAAATAAGTAAATAATTTTTTTATTAAAAAATAGAATGTGGGATCTCAACTGATATCAGGCCAGTTTCACAGACAGGAAAAGCAACAGAACTGCTGATCAGCAAAATGTCATTGGCAAGGTGGAAACGTCAAAGAAGCTAACACCATGCTTAGCTCTGGAAGGTCAGATTTTATGTGTAGTGTGCTAAGAACATTCAACACGGGATCTTCTGTCAACACATCTAAGTGTACAGTACTGCCAACGCTCTGCTGCATGCGTTCAGTAGATACCTACCAGCAGGAGTTTGCCACTCAGATTTCTGTCTTAAAAATAATCTTTTATCCAAAATAGATGAAAATATTCCAGTGTACATAGAACATTACTAAAATAGAATACCCTCAGAATCTAGCATATATGGTTCAAAGTATGAGGGGTTATTCTGCTCTATTAAAATAAACCAAGTGAAACTGAACAACAAAACAAATAATAAAAAGGAATAAGCACATTGATGACTGATGTGGTCAGTTTTTCCACACTTTAGAGATGATACAATTTTTAGAAGTTCTGAAAATATATTATCTACCTTTAAAATTTTCTTAGGGTGTGTTTTTATATCAAAATTATTTTATGCTTTTTTTGCTGTATTCTTAATTTTTTTAAAGATCAACAAAAATCTTTTTAAAAATACACATATATCCATAATTTATCCATATATCTTCCATCAGCTGTTTCACTCCCCCAAAAGCTGCAATGGCCAGGGCTGGGCCAGACTGAAGCCAGGAGCTTCTGGGGGTCTTCATGTGGGTCCTGGAGCCCAAGCAGCTGAGCTACCTTCCACTGCTTTCCCAGTCAAATTAGCAGTGAGCTGGACTGGAAAGGAGCATCGGGGACTGGCACTGGCACCCATAAAGGACGCCAGTGTTACAGGCAGTGACTCTATCAGCTATGCCACAATGCTGGCACCTATATTTTTCTTAGCATTTTTATTTCCCCCAATTTACTGTAATCCTTTCAATTGTGGATAAAACATAGCTAATTCACTTCCATTCCACTATAAACTATTGTCCCCATATCTTTCTCAAGATAAAAATAAGTTAGAAAACTTAAGTCTCCCTTTTAATTCTCCTTCCAGACACCTAAGTATTGGCTTATCATCATCTGCCAACTTTTACAATTGACATACGGTTTATGTACTTTTGGTGTCCACCACTGAATTCAAATGCTGTGTTTCAATAATCTTTCAGTTGTGAGTAATCTGCTTTTTTCTTTCTGAATGCTTTACCGATTCTCTATTTTTCTACATCTTGGGCTTTACTAACTAGCTTATATAAGTGTGAATTTGTTGTTGATTCTACCCAGGAGCCAGAGTAAGCGTTCATTACGAAGATTAAATTTTTCTTCAGCTATTAAGTGTTTAAATATTGCCTCTCCCTCATTTTCGATGTCCCAAATAGGTTATGTTCAATACTTGCTCAGCTTTTACTTTATGTTTTCTATATCAAACAGTAGACTAAGGATGTTTAACATCCCCTGCAAATGTTGAAATCGCAGAAGGGTGACAAGAAAGGGCACACAGGAGACCTGGACTTCACTCTAGTGCCCGTGCCCCCACGTTCCCACAGTAGAGTAGAAGGCATAGATATCACCAATTAAAAAGACTACTGACAGCCCTTAACTTAAACTTCACAGGCAACCCCTTCCTGCCCCTGGTCTGGGAATCAATCACCAAACCTGGAGTTCTGTTGTTACCTGGGCAAGGCTGGGTACAGCTTTCCTCCAGAACCATTTTTTTACTGCCATCTATAATGGGTTCAACGTCAGCACAGAATTCCTCATCCACTGCTTTGCTGAAATCGTCAGCTGTCCCGTCACTCACTACACAAGAAATGTTTCTTGTTCTCGTCCCTTCTCCACACTGGGCCTCCTGGAATAGGGAAAGAAATAACCAATTAAGGAAAGAAAAATAATTCATTAGAGAGCTCATCACTGAGAGTCATGTCCGCATCATTGATTTTGATTTATAAACAGAAGCATTTGAAACCCTAGGGAAGCGGCCCTGTAGGGGGTGAGCTAGAAAGCACACATGGAACAATCTGTTTTCCAGCCAAAGACGGGGAAATAAATTTTCATTAAAATGGATCCCTCTCCAGATGATTTAAAAAGTATGATACAGGGAGTGTTTGTGATCAAAACTTATTAAACAGCTATGAAATGGCATGGCACCTAAAATCTCTAAGAGGAAATCTCCCCTCTATAAGCACTGGAAAATATTTCTGAGACCAAGTCTCTACACTGAACACACACTTCCACACTGCTGCTTGAGATCTGATACCTGCACTTGGCACGGAGACCACGGGCCATACTGCCACCGGTAACAGGGCTTCACTGGGCAAGGCTTGGACTGGTCCAAGAGGGAAGGGCATGGTCTCCCATCCCCCTGAAAGGGCTGCATCACCGTTCGCCTCCGCATCATTTTTCCTTTAAGAAATACAAAGTGACACAACTTTAGTGGCGTGTTACGGTCGTGTGAGTGCGTGTCTTTTTGGGAGAAGGCATCCCAGAGGTCTTTGCCGAGAGGAACTGGGAACAAACAAGGTTTTCTGAGGGTGATCGGATAAGACTTAGAACAAGAGGTCATATCCCTTAACCATTAGCGAACGCTGACTGTGGTGCAGACCAACCTGTGAGGCCACATGTTTGAGAACACGTCGACCACGGCGACCAGTCAGACAGCTGACAGTTCACGGGGCACTCCACCACGCAGGAGGTGTTCATCTGCCAGTTCTTCTCCAGGCCAAGCTGAAAGACAGAGAGGTAGCTGTACTGACACAGAGACTCGGCCACATCACAGCAGCGAATGAAGGAAGAGAGAAATAAGAATAGAGGCAAAGGGAGGGCCAGCAAGCCTCAGAGCAGAATAAAAACACACACGGACAGCTGCAAGTGTGAAGTCATTCAACCCAGGAGCGTGTGAATGAAGCCGCGGGATGAATGGTGGGGGGAGCGAGTGCTGACTCCACATTGTCTGAATGTTTTCAATAAGTGGACTCAGTGTCCAAACTGCTTAGATGTCCTTAAGGAAAAAACAAGTGTAATCTCAGTTACTTTCTATCAGTTACAACTTAAGAATATCAACAATACATAGATTTGTACTTCTATCTTTGAGATATTGTTTTTACATGTACCTGTTAAACTGAAAACCAGGGAGGAAAGTTGTTTTGTTTTTTAAATTGCCACTTGGGACCCGCATCAAGGCATGGTGGTTAAAGCTGCTGCAGGTAACGCTGCCATCCTATATAGGTGCCAGTTTGTGTCCCAGCTGCTCTACTTCTGATCCAGCTCCTTCATAATGGCCTGGGAAAGCAGCAGAGGACGGCCCCAGTGCTTCGGGTCCCGAATACCTGTGTAGGAGACCTGGAAGAGGCTCCTGGCTTCGGCCTGGCCCAACCCTGGCCGTTGCGGCCCTCTGGAGAATCAATCACAAGATGGAAAATCTGTCTCTATCTCTCCCCTTTGTAACTGACTTGCAAATAAACATAAACGTCGTAAAAAGTCCAGTTAGAATACATTCTGCCCTTCCTCCCTCCTTAAAATAATTGCCACAAGACTAATAATATACCTAAATAATATAAAGTGTCAGTTATCATAATAGTATAAAATATTAGCTATTTTCCTACAAGGAAAGATGGGTTCCCGGATCAGTGCTTTGGATAGTACATCTCTGTAGACACTCCCATTATATGCTATGCCAGAAAGAATTGAAATACCTGAGTATTCGATAGGGAAACTTCTACCGTAATACATAATTAGCGCCTCAAAAAGTCTCTGAAAATTCCCATGAGGCTGAAGATAGGAATCTTAAGGTGATATGATGGAAGTAATGTATTACATTTTAAGTTTTCACAGAGAGAGAGAGTCTGAATGACAGAATTCAATCTATTCAGGGATCAAAGAATAGGGAAGGAGAAACAAACTGCTACATATTAGTTGAGTAAATGTCTGAAAAACATAAAAAGTAAAAACAGTACCTAAGCGCTCGGTGTGTTAAACCCTCATTTTTGTCTTTGTTACATAGTAATGCCATCTTTCTTTTGGCTGCAGGGTTTCTACATCCATTAGCAGGCAGGCAATCAGTCCATTATTAGAAGAAAAAAGCCTAGTTTTTCTTGAAGCTTTTGTTTAATCCCGCTGCACTAATAAGGATGGATAAAGTGGAATATGAGCTCTTTAATCCAATTCCACAGAGAATAACACTTTTCTTCCTGAAGACCTCGTTTGCCAGAATGTTAGCATTTCAACCCTATGTCATGGCAGTATTCTCACGTAGCAGTATCAGTGCTCTTAGATAAGTAAAGATATCCTGGGTTTTCACCTGTGTTTCACTTACGAAACCAAAGATCACGTTTATATCTTTGTCCTTTAGTCATGTGATGCAGCTTAAAATTGGCTATGGATGATTTGGGATCAGTTTTCAAAAAGCTCACAGAGCTTTTCACTTTATATTTAATTCTGATCCAGGAGGACACTGATGAGTGCATTTGTGGAAAGAAAGAGAACATATCAGTCAAGTACATGATCCCAGAAAGCTCTCCCTTCAGTACATGACTAGAATAATCTTCTTCAACAATGTTAATTTTATAATGGCTACATCACTTCTATATTATTAGTTTCAAAACCAAAATGGTTCAGGTGTGAAATTCCTAATTATTTAAATCCAAGGTATAAAGCAGACTATGTCATAGGATTAGAGTGGGAGACAATTATTAACTAAACAACTTAATGTTTTCAGTGCATTGAGAACCCTGTTCCTGTGGACAGAGATATAAGAAGTTAAACTGGGTCTGTATAACACTATCTAGTGAATTAAAATATATATTTCTATCTAGAATCATTTCTTAGGAGTTGGAACACTTTATGGTGGCACCAGGATGTGTAGACAGGCATAGTTTTGAGGCTGGCATTGTGGCATAGTGGGTAAAGCCACAGCTTTGTCTTGCTAGCAAATCATATCAAAGTGCAGGTTTAAGTCCCTGCTGCTCTACTTCCCATCCAGCTCCCTGCTAATGTGCCTGGGAAAGCAGCCAAAGATGGTCCAAGTACTTGGGCCCCTGCCATCCACAAGGGACACCCATATGGAGTTCCTGGCTCCTAGCTTCACTCTGACCCAGTCCCAGCTCTTGTGGCCATCTGGGGAGTTAGCAGTAGATGGAAGATATTTATCTCTGTCACTCTGCCTTTCAAATAAATAAATCTTTTAAAGAAAAGTTTTGACCAGGTCTTCTAAACTTTAATGAAGTTGTGAGCATCGTCTTGTTTATTCCAATTCTATTGAGGCTCCTGCTTATCTTGGTTCGTAACTGACACAGTAAATCTCAGATACACAGGAACTCAAAACTCGTCAGGAATGTGAGCATTTGTTTGGCTGGTAATTAGACAAAATAATTACAAAATGAAGTGCAGCTTCATAAAAACTAAGACAGACTACCAAATATGTTTCCTCACATTTCAAAAGGTCATACAGAGAAATAACAACATTACTTCCATCAATTAGAGAAGTGACAGTTACAATTCTGTGTCTAAACGACAATCATGGTAGACTCTAGTCCTTTGTTTGATTTTCCAGATCTGAGTATTTAGACTCTCACAGCTGGGTATTAAATCTTAATATCAAAGTCTGCTAGCAAACCACATGTGATAAATGTTTAGCAACAGAGAGAATAAATGATGGGTCTTGGCAGGTGTCCCAGACACTAAACAAAATTCACATCAAATTACAAAGGATGATGAGTAGGCTGATTAAGATTTATTGGCTTTATTCACCTTGATTACTTATTGTTCCCCAAGTATTTCTTTCAGAATACGCTAATTAGCATACCTTTGGGCTCCAAGCAGAACAAAATACAGGAAATTACATGTGGAAATCAGTAGCACTGGACACAATCCCTTTTGAAGAGGGTACTAAAGAGCTTGTGAATGGTGTAGAAAAACATCTGGCAAAGAGCTGCCCGGAGCACAGGTCACTGGGTGCAGCGTGAATTGAAATTATCAGGGAAGAATTTACTCAAAGATATAACACAGCATCCACCCACCTCTCCACAGTACTTCAGGTCCACTGACTTGCCATCGCTTCGAACGCAATCCAGCATCCTTGTTTTAATGCCGTTCCCACAAACTGCCTTCTCACTCAGCTGACAGGTACTCCAGTCTGAAAGGGAGGGAGCCCATCAGAACAGAAGGCCACGCACGAAACAGATTTCAAATGAAACCCCAGTGACCTGAATCCCATATTTAATTCACGATTGCTTCCTAAGCCCCTCAATCAATCATCCCACATGCAGAGCATATGGGTCCCAGCTTTGAACATATCAGGAGTCAAACGGAATTGCTGGGGTTGCACATGGCTGCAGGGATTATTCTGGAACAGAGTTTACCGGACAATCTCTATAGCTGTTTGGATGGCTCTGGCCTGTGTATCAGCGTCTCTCACAAATATTTATCCTAATAAAAAGAATTTAAAATTTTACCATCATTTTTTGTTTTAGCAAATAATTATAATGAATGGAAGTTAATGTAGGTTTTGTTAAAATAAAACACAATGCATCCCATTTGTCCATTGTTAGAGTACTTTAAAATGCAAACATTTCAAATTAATGTTGGGCCTATTTATTTTTCTTATCTTTTTGCAAAAATAATTTTCATTTTTTTTCCAGGTTAACCACATCCCAGAGAACTTTGATTTCCTTTGTGCTGTCAAAGGAAATTGAAGAGAAAATCCAAAAGAAGCAAAAAGCCCATATGACTGTCATTTTTTTTAATTTGTTTCAGTATAAAAATTGAAAAAATTTCAAAGTAAGCTTTTGTGTTCCCTCAAATCATATGAGCCAACAAAATATTTTCTTTTGTGTTGTAATATTACTTAATAATATTAAATGAGTTTACAGAAAATGAATTTATAATTTGTTTTTCTGAAAATATTTATTATCTGTGCTGATTTATTATGTTTGACGAGTATAAAGTTGCTGAATTTTTTTATACCAAACTATTCTTGTTTGTAAACTGCCCATAAATCCCAACTTGTTTTCTCAGTGAATCTTTCAATAAAAATACTTTATTTGTACCTTCCCAATGTGGAAGGGTGTCAAATGGTTTCACTTATGTTGTTCATAATCTACTTTAAAGCCTATTGTCTGTATGATATTTTTATTCTCCATATATAACTAAAAAAAAGATACATATTTCTGTTATTTAACAACTAATTGCTTCTGGAGGGTAAGTGGCACGCCCAGACGGCACACACGTGGAGATGAACTGTACTGATGGGAACATCTCCCATCTGCCAGACCCGGGCTTTGCTGGCCAGCCGCTTACCTGTTACGTTATAATCATAGTGGTAGCAGTTTTTGTTCAGGCTGCAAGGTTCCTTCTCAACAGCATCAGGGCAGGATCTTCCCTCATCAGCAGGTTGTCTGATGGGATCAGCTGACCTTTGCCGGAAACTGCTTTGACTGCAAGGCTTACAAAGTACAACACAACATCTCAGGTGAATATTTGGCCACAGAACATCTGGTGCTTCAGGGAGGGCACTGGAGCAGGAGGTGCAACACTTGGGCCACTGGCTAACTTGAACAAGTCAGCTAACTTCTCTACACCTCTGTGTTTCCATATATGAAATGAAAATGTTGGATGAGATTCTGATGTCCCAACTAGAAATAAGATGTCTACATAGGGGCCAGAGTTGTGGGGTAGTGGTTAAGCCACTGCCTGTGATGCTGGCATCCCATATGGGTGCCATTTGTGTCCCGGATGCTCCACTTCTGATCCAGCATCCTGCCTGGGAAAGCAGCGGATCTGAGCTCCTGAAGCCCATGTAGGAAACCCAGATGGAGTTCAGTTCTCCTGGACTTGGCCTGGCATAGCCCCAGCCATTGTAGACATCTGGGGGGTGAATCAAATAGATGGACGATCTCTCTGTGTCTCTCCTTCTCTATAACTCTGTCTTTCAAATAAATATTTAAGAAAAAGACTGTCAAAAAACCCCCACTACTCTGCACAACACCTCACACCTACACACATACATATGGTCATATTTATTAGAATAGAATAATAGAATTATAATATTATAAATTATAAAACACTTATATAATTTTCTGAAAAATACTGATCTACATTTCTCTTAAATTTTTATAATACTGATTTATAATCTTTGGCAAGTTTTTATACTAACTTAATCATTTATAAACTGTCACCCCATAATTTTCTAATTAAACATCTTCTGAAAAAGACCTCTTTCAATTTGGTATCTGTGATTAAAAACATTTTTATTTGCATCTTCTCCAAGTAGGAAGATGTCTTAAGTAGGATCATAAATTTACCTTTATATATAATTTATATATATTATATAGTCCTGAAAAAAATTTTAAGGGTGAGACTACCCAGTTTTTAGAGATGTTAGTTTCTAATGAATATTTACTCATGCACACAAACACAATTTGGCATCTGAAAAGATGAAATTATAAACTATTAATAGGTGATACATACAAAAAATGTAAAATCTTCACAGCAAAACGTGGAGGCAACCAACCAGAATGGGAGAAAATATCTGCAAACTATTCATCTGATAAAGGATTAATATTTAAAACTATAAAGAACTCAAGACACTCAGCAAAAACAAAACAATCCAATTAAGAAATCAGCAGAGCATACAAGCAGGCACTTTCCAAAGGACGAAATACAAATGGCCAGCAGACACATGAATAGATGCTCAGGGCCACTAGCCATCAGGAAAATGCAAATACAAGCCACAGTGAGGTTTCACCTCTCCCAGTTAGAATGGCTATCATCCAAAAATCAAAATGTAACATGCTGGCAAGGGTGTGGGGGGAAAAGGTGCCCTAAACCACTGTTGATGGGAATGTAAATTAGTACAACCATTATGGAAGACAGTATGGAGAGACCTCAGAATCTGAAATAGTTCTACCATATGACCTAAAAATTCCACTTCTGGGAATTTACCCAAAGGAAATGAAATCAACATATGAAAGAGTTATCTGTACCTCCATATTTATTGCAGCTCAATTCACAATAGCTAAGATACGGAATCTACCCAGATGTCCATCAACTGATGACTGGATAAAGAAATTATGGTATGTATACACAATAGAATACTACTCAGCCTTAAATAGCGAAATCCTGTCTTTCACAGCAAAATGGATATAATTGGAGACTGTTATGCTTAGTGAAGTAAGCCACCCACCATGGTTTCCCTGATTTGTGGTAACATGCAGAATAAGAAAAAGTAACATATATGAGTGAAACTGACATTTTGAGACTTGATTATTGTTTATAGCCCTTGTCTACACTCCTGAGGAACAGGGGTTTTTCTACTGACTACTTGTTGAGTTGTTTATTTAGTGGAGATTTAAGCTTGTGATTATAAAGTAAATTGAAAGTATGTCATTGCAAAATTAAAAGCAGCACCATGAGGGAGGAGAGAGGACGGGCGCGAGGGAGGTAGTGTAGGAAGTATCATTGCGTTCTTGAAACTGTCTATGAAACACTTGTGGTTTGTTCACTTTATACAATTAAAAATCAGCAGAAATAAAAAGATTGACCTGCCATTATACTACAGTTCTCTGAAAACACTTAGTTTCTAAGAACAGAAAACAGCCAGGGATAAGCCTCCTTGGACATTTTGAGGCCTACAATAATAGTCTCCCCCTCCTCTGCTCCCACTGTACTCTAGTCCACTGGAATAACTCTTACTGCTCTTATATACAGTGAATTAGGCAAAGACCTTGCTCCTTTCTACAATGAGAGTGCGCAGTGAGAAGACCCAATGTCACTGTATGTTATATATTCTCTACACTTAACACAGTTCCTTGTAGATGGTAGCTGCTTAATCAGTATTTGTTTAATGAAGGCATGACTGAAGGGGAAAAAAAAAAAGATGAATTAAAGGTAAAATATGGGGCAGGCACGGGGCCTAGCAGCTAAGGTGTCGACTGGGATGCCCATGTCTCGCTTTCAAATACCTGGGTTTTGATGCCCAGCTCTGACCCCTGCCAACAATTTCTTGCTAATGCAGACCTTAGGGGGCAGCAGTGATAGTTCAGGTCACTGTGCTCCTGCCACCCACATGAGAGACCACGATTGAGTTCTCAGCTTCTAGCTATGGTCTGGCCTGGCAGGCTTCTGGGGAATGAACCGGTAGATGGGAGTTTTTCTCTTTCTCTTGCTTACTTGCGCTCTCACTGTTTCGGTGTCTCTCAAAATGAAATAAAATTGATAAAATAAAAACACACACACAGAAAGCAAAATATAAAGCCCAAGTAGCAGTTACTCAACCAGCTGATTTGCTTCTCTCATTCCAAACATTTCCATGGGCAGGAACAGAAAGTCTGTCTCACCAACTCCTTTATAAGTGACAGAACCTCAGTAACTCTTTTAAGATGATTATCCTTGGTCATTTAAAACATAAACCAAAGAGACAAAATTCCAGTTTAGTGGTTGCTGTTACTAGAACCCCCAACTCATAAGTTTAATAGGAAGTGTTAGGAAACTGGCACAGTTGCAGTTTTATCTATGGTGTGATCTACACCCTGATTTACATCCTATGCCCCAGTTCCCGCCGCCATGGCTGAAAGCCAGGTGGCCACAAGGCCCAACTACCTGTGCCAAGCTCCACCCCCATCCTAATGGGATTTGCTGCTCCTGCTTCTCTGCCCGCCCTCCGGCAAAGTTTTAAAAGGGCCTGTTCCTGAACACATGGCTCTCTTGGCTTCTCTCTTCTCTTTTGGCTCCTCTCCTCTGCTCTCCTCTCGCCTCTCTTCCTTTGGCTCTCTCCTCTCCTTGCTAGCTCCTCTTCTCTCTGTCTCTCTCTTACACTCTCCTTCTCTCCCTTTTTCCCTCTTCACTCCTTCCCTCCGGTCTGCTGAGTTTTCCCCAATAAACCCTTTCCCTTACCCTGGTGTTTGGTGTGTTTTGTGACGGCCCAACAGAAATACATAACAGGAAGGGGTCCAAGTTCTCTATTCCCTATCTTATAAAAATAGAATCTCTTTGCCCCAGAATCTGTAGCAGTAGGAATTTCTCCATTAAAAGTATAGTTAGACATTGTGGAATATAGTCCAGCTGTCTGGGGTAACTTGAGTTCTGATGCTATGCAATTAGAATAGAAAACCATTTGAATACTCTTGTTAAACAGTTGCTTCTTTATTGCAATTTGACATATATTTAAGTCAACTGGCAGCCCTGTTTTGCAACCAATCAGCATCTTTAATAGTGTTAACACTGATGGAAAATCAAAATTGATTTCCTTGGAACACATGCATCATAAACTCTTCCTTGAAACTGTCCTATACTATATTTCAACAAATTAATTTCACAATAGATACATTTTCTCCATGTTTTTGAAGCCTTTTTTTTTTTTTTTTAAATATACAGCTTTACATAGTTGCCCAAGGACAAACCAAATTTCCTGCATAAGCAACCAGTTTTATTTCAAATGATTTTCTGCCAAGAGTCCCATGGAAGAGCTCCTACTGACTGTGGAAATCTGGAAGCTTTGTAATTTGAAATTCTCAGCTGGTTTTTCAGACCCAGAGAGACACGGAGTCAGTGTGTGGAAAGACACGGATGTATGGCTTAGGTCTTTCTAGTTGGCTTCTTACCCAGGATCTTTAGCTTCTTAGTAGTAACCCCCCTGCTGCAGTACCCCTACGGTGTGAAAGATTATTCCTACCATTTAAATAAAATGGATTGGGCACAAAGCAAGGGTTGACAATAACCTGACGATTAAAGTCCCTCTACCAGGGCTTCATTCTTTTTCCCTCTTACCTGGAGAGATCATTATCGCCACTGCAGCCTGCATCATGCTGTGTATTTACCAGGCAAACTGAAAGCATTTTGTGCTGGCTTAGGAGGATGGGCTGGGGAGGAGCATAAAGCTTGTAAGAGGTCCAGCTGTCCCAGTGTGGGAGGAAACACTGACTTTAAATGGCACAGTCATAGAATGAAGTGGCTGAGAGGACACACCTAGCTTTGGGACACATGCCACATGGATTTCACATGGAAGTTATGGATTCCTTAGTGATTTATTTAAAGCTTTAATAATAAGGAATTAAACAGACTCTGTATTAGTAAGATAGTGAATTGTCTCACCAAAACACATCGGGTCCACGGACCCCATTCAGACATCACGCAGTCCTCGGGACACGGCAATTTGCACTCTCTGGAGCCCAGGGGCATCTCCTCTGGGTCACAGAGGTAATCCTCCACATGTTCAGAAGGGCCGTCTGCTGTATTCTGCATGCACCTGCAAGAAATCATAGAGAGCAGTGAAGGAACTGGAACAGTATGAACAATGGCCAATCCCCAGCATGGTGGTTTTCCTGAAGATACCATCATGGGGTGGGAATCAGGAAGCTTTATATGTCACAAATAAAATTCTCCAAAATGAAGACATAAAAGGATCTCTGCTTCCTTCAAAGCTGAATGATTTCAATATATGCCTTCATGCAAGATCATTACCTTTTATGTAATAGCCACTGGGTAGATGTCAATGCTGCCTATCAGGTGAACTTCCTTGGGAACAAGAGGTCATTTACATTCATATATGAGGCAGGAACTAATGAGTAGTCCAATGGTATTCATGGAAGGGAGCAATTCTGGCATAAATCCATTTTTTTCCTTCTCACCAAAATAATAGATTCCATAGAGAAGGCAGAGTTGATTCAAAAGTGATGGAAGATTGGGCACACCGCAATCCCTACAGGACGGGTTTCAATAAGTCTCATCAAAGATAACTAGAGTCATTAACTCTTTTTTTTGTCATTTAATGTAATTTTTGCCTCTTTTTTGCTTTTAACCTTGAAAGAAAGCCAGAAGCAAAAAGAAGTTACAGGAGCTGGTGCTGTGGCGTAGCAGATAAAGCCACTGCCTGTTGTGCCAGCATCCCATTTGGCCTCCGGTTTGAGTCCTAGCTGCTTCACTTCCAATCCAGCTCCCTGCTAATGTGCCTGGGAAAGCAGCGGAGGATGGCCCTAGTGCTTGGGCCCCAGCACCCATGTGGGAGACCCAGAAGAAGCTCCAGGCTCTTGGCTTCCAATGGGTCCAGCTCCAGCTGTTGCAGCTATTTGGGGACTGAACCAGCAGATGGAAGATCTCTCTCTTTCTGCCTTTGCCTCTCTGTAACTCTGCCTTTCAAATAAATAAATAAATCTTTATTTTTTTATTAAAAAAACACAATTGTAATATCACAAATATTCTAGGAATGGTCATTTGGATCTTTCTACTTTCAAAACATTTAAAGAATGTTCTGTTCATAACAGCTTGAGGAAGACATGAAGCTGACACAGCATTTCTGTGTTGGATTTGCTGCTAAGAAAAGGTTACAGTCTTGGTAGATGCTGACACCCTATATAAGGATTAACTTGTAAAATTGCTATTGATCCACAGTTAAGCATGGATGTCCAATACTCTATTAAATAGCTATGTACATAAAACTTTACCTTCAAAAGCTTTTCTCTTTAATATTATACAAGTAATATATTCCTTTTAGGAAAATCAGGAAAAAATAGTAAAAATTCACATAATTCGATCCCTTAGAGTTAAACCACTCTTTTAAAAAACAAACTATCCAGACTGGTGCTGTAGTGTAGTGGGCTAAGTCTCCACCTAAGGCACCGGCATCCCATATGAGCATCAGTTCGAGTCCCAGCAGCTCCTCTTCCAATCCAGCTCTCTGCTATGGCCTGGGAAAGCAATGGAAGATGGCCCAAGTGCTTGGACCCCTGCACCCATGTGGGAGACCTGAAGAAACCTCTGGCTCCTGGCTTCAGATCAGCCCTGCTCCAGCCATTGTGGTCATTTGGGGTGTGAACCAGTGGATGGAAGATCTCTCTCTGTCTCTCCCTCTATCTGTCTGTAACTCTACCTAATAAATAAATAAAATCTTCAAAAAGCAAAAGACTATTATTTAAACTTATATTTGCATTTCATGAAATAGGATCAAATTTTACCTATTTACCACTTGACAAAAATCAACAATTCATTATGAACCTCTTATGCTATTAGTATTCTAAGATATATATATTTAATGACTGTGTTTGAATTTCATTACTTGAATGTGCCACAGTTGCTTAAAAATGCCTTCATTGTTGGATTTTACTTATTTAATTTGGAATTAATAATATTTTTAACATCCTAGAATATAAAAATCAATATTTAGATCAAGTTTTGAGCCCAAAGGAAAGTAATTTAACTTTATCTGAATTCTTCACATTTTTTGCGTTTCTCCTTTCCGAAAAGCAGGAATTATACCGTGAGGGAACTGAACTGTACTAGGAGTATGTAGCGTGGGACTGCACTGGAGGTGAAGGGCGAAGCCTGGGGCCACCACAGGTAGGGCTCGAGGGGTGCGTTGCTGAGGATTCAAACAAGAACAGTACTGTAGTCCATTCATCATCCCCACGTGCTGACAATTATAAAAAACGTCCATTTTATCCCTTCCCACCAGAACACACCACTCCTACTCACTCCTTGGTATGCCATGCCATCCTAGTAGAAAGAAAGTGGATAGATTTAAACCTGCTAGTTTATAGACTCACCCATTCAAAATGTCACCTGAATGCTTGCATTCAAATTGGACATTTTGACCTTAATTAGCAGAGGATAAGGACAGGGAGCTGCACTACTCAGCCAGAAAGAGATAGGAACACTATTACATGATCAGAGATCACAATCAATATTGACCTTCTCTTTCCTCTATTTACATTAATGATGTTTACTGGAAAAATAAATTGATTTGAAAAGTGTTTGGAGATGTTGAGAAAATCCATTTAGCAAGCAGAGCAAAGTGACATGTACACAGACAGGTGAAGGAAAGCTAGAATAACAGTGTTTTTATCTCTATTTTTCTCTCATTCACTAGAAAAAGACACTGATCAAATTCTTAAGGTAAGAAAAATATTTTTAAATTTTATGGGAAAAAAGTTTTATTTGGAACACTGGTAGAAAACAGAATCTCCATCTTTTTCTTTTGTTTTCTGTTCTACTTATCACCCCCCACCCCCACCCCATATCTGTTCATAGAGGAAAAACAAATTAAGACTTGAGCTGGGCTTTTGAAAAAGCAAATAGAATATTTTTCACAAGTAACAAAGCTTTGCATAGGTTTATATGCAAACCTTTTATAGTATTAATTCTAATTTTTCTATTTGAGAAATATCAATCCTAAATTCACGAATATTGGTTATTGGTGACAACAAACTTCTTCGTAACACAGGATCATCAACTTCTGGATGCTTTATATTTGTCTTTACAGCGTGACCTGACCAAGGTCAGGAGAAAGTGGAATAGTTCAAAAGAGTGACAAGAGACTTGGGTTTGGATCCCAAACTCTAGTAGTTTGAATTCTCCCAGACAAGTTGGGTGTTTTTGGTACATTACTTTGTATTTGAGACTCTAATCTAGAAAATTGAGATGAAACTCATGCACTTGTTTGACAGAGTTTTAGAACCCTTAAGGATCATAGGACAGATGTGTCGCTCCCCCATTCGCGGAGGAATGACACAGGACCCTGCGCTGTTCTTTTGTCTGCTCGGCCCTTCCCGGGTTGGCTGCCGACCCCTCCGCCTCCGTGGAGGGGCGGCACCCCCTGCCACTTTCCCCGCTTCCACAGGGGAGCGGCACACCGCCGGCCGGCTCTCTCGGGGGCTGCTCAGATGTTCCTTCAGATGTTCCTGGTGCATGTTGTCTCTCTCCTCCTTTATAGTCCTCTTCCACCAATCCCAACTCTGCTACCCACACGCCGAGCACGCTGCTCTCCTCCAATCAGGAGCAGGATCAGCTCTTGCAGCTCATCAGTCAAATTGGCGAGAGGCAGCTGCGTAGAAGTTCACTCCTCCCCAGCGCCATATTGTGGGAGAGCAGATGCATAGGATAAGTCTTAATTCCAGTAACTTAGTCTAGTCTCAGTTGCTCCCCACACAAACGCTCTATGGAAAATTGAATAACTATCAAATTTGTATTAGGCTTTAGGGGATTCCCAAGAATCTGACAAATTCCCTGTATGGAGAAACACACAGAGTTTAATAAAGGTGGCAAATATTCAATGTAAACTCTTTTCAACAGAGCAAGGGGTATTTGGAGTGCTACGAAAGCAGCGTTATGTGATGGAACTTTCTTTAATGACCAAAATCTTCTTTATCTATGCTTCCCAGCAACACAGCCACACGTGGCTGGTAAGCACTTGGAATATGGCTAATGTGACTGAGGACAGGCATTTTACATTTTATTTAATTTTAGTTTAAAGCACAATATCCCCATGGGGCTGCTATAGAAAAGCCAGTGACAGGCAATGGGCAGCCGGGGCTTCGAAGGAAGGATCCCCGGATGAGACAAAAGTACTCAAAGTCTGATAAAAAGGATCCAGAGTTTAAACAGATCTATTGAAAAAATGCACTTAGTGATATATGTGACCTTTAAGAAAAGTTACTGGAGTTGAAAATCTGCATTGGTTCACTGTGGCTTCAATGTGCTACTCCTTCCCTTCACGACAATCTGCAAGCGAAAGTTCCAAAGCCACAAGGGCAGGAAGCAGGTCCTCTGGCTTCCCACACACACAGATTCCCCAAACAAAAGTCTGAAGATAGTTTGACTCGGGATCCTGCAGGGGTGTGGGGCACACATGCAGTTGGGAGGTGACTCTGTGTCTTGCATCTTTGTGTGATAACGCTCGGCCTTACCTTACTTTTCTGGTTTGCACTCCCTCTCCACAGTTCTCCCTCATATTCACAAATGTCACCTTGCAGACGCTCCAGGGCTCCGTGACCCATATGTACTGGCTGCAGTCACTGTGGCACGGGACAACCTCATAGACCTGCAACACACAGGGCTTTCTGTGATCTCAGGGAGTCCTGGGGAGTGAGTGGGAAGATGTCCACACCACCTCAGTCATCAGTTCATTGTTAGCTACCTTAATCCTCCCCCTCCAGCGCATATTCTAGGTTGGAATAGACAGAAATCTAGTGGCAAAGGGCAGAGCTAGGAGTGTTGTATTCTGTGTTCACTGGCCTCATCAGGTAGCCTACCTACTTTCCTGGGCTGACCCTTACGGGACTGTATTGTAATTTCCTGGACTTGGTATTCTTCACAGTTTTGTGCATCTCCAATACTCAGGCCAGGCACCTCATATGCTAAGTACAATACAGATTTTGTGGATGGATGAATTATAGGACTATATAAATATAGCTGTTTGTCAAATAAATACAACTTAGCCTGTTTTCCACATAAATATTACGAGAGAACTTCAAAAAATTTTTGGAAAAATTAAATTAAAAGATAACTATTTTAGAGAACAATTTAAAATCCACATATAAATGAGGGTGTCTTCAAAATGTTCACTAAAAATGAAGTTGTTGGAAGAAAATGTAAGGGAAATACTCCAAGACACTGGTGTAGGGAATGACACCTTGCATAAGACCCCCAAAGCACAAGTAACAACAACAACAAAAACAACTAAATAAAGGGGACTCCATCAATCTCAGAAGCTTTTTGCATAGCAAAGGAAATGATCAATAGAGTGAAGAGATATCCAGGGGCCAGTGCTGAGGCGCAGCAGGTTAAAGCCCCAGCCTGCAAATGCTGGCGTCCCATGTGAGTTCCGGCTGCTCCACTTCTGATCCAGCTCCCTGCTAATGTGCCTGGGAAAGCAGAGGAAGATGGTCTAACTTCTTGGTCCCCTGCACCTATGTGGGAGACCCAGAAAAAGCCCCTGGCTCCTGGCTGCAGATTGGCTCAGCTCCATACATTGTGGCCATTTTGGGAGTGAACCAGTGGATGGAAGACCTCTCTCTCTCTCTCTCTCTCTCTCTGCCTCTGCTTCTCTGTAACTCTTACTTTCAAGTAAAATAAATAAATCTTTAAGGAAAAAAAAAGTAATGGGAGACTGATTAATGAACTAACGGGCCCATTTTTTTTTTTTTTAAGCAGAGACATCCAAGAGAATGGGTTAAAATATTTGCAAACCAGCTACCTGACAAAGGCTTAATATCTCGAATATATAAGCAACTTAAACTCAACAACAAAAAAACAATCAATCCTGTTGAGAAATGGGCAAAGAACTTTAATAGTTCTCAAAAGAAGAAATACAAATGACCAACAATTATTTTAAAAAAGGCTCAACATCACTAGCCACCAGGAGAATGCAAATCAAAACCACAATGAAATATCATCTCATTGCTGTCAGAATGGCTAAAATCCAAAACAGAGAGTAACAAATGCTGACAAGGATGTAGACAAAGGGGAACACTTATCCACTGTTGTGGGAATGTAAATTAGTGCAGCCACTGTGCAAAACAGTGTGGAGATTTCTTAAAAAACTAGAGATAGACCTGCCATATGACCCAGCAATCCCACTACTGGATGTATAACAGGAAGACTTGAACACAATGTATCAGAGAGACACCTGTACCACCACATTCACAGCAGCACTGTTCACAATGGCCAACAATTAGAACCAACCAAGCTGTTCATCATCAGAAGAATGGGTAAAGAAAAATGTGAAATATATAGATAATGGAATATTAGCTACAAAAAAGAATGAAATTCTGTCATTTGCATCAAAATGGATGCAATTGGAAGACATAATTTTGAGTGAAATAAACTGGACCCAGAAAGACAAACACTGCATGTTCTCACTCATATGTGGGAGCTAACATTTAAAACATAAATTAATATAGAAAAAAGTCTGTGTGTATCAGTACTGCTGCAAATACAGTTTTGTAAAACTTTGTTTTATACCTTTGTGAAACCAATGATTAAGAAAGTTATACTACTATAGTTTTAATGATCTGTGATCACTTTAAAATTGGGTGAAATGCTCCTTTTCCCATTCAATTATTATTTATAGGCATTGTCTTTTTGCTTTTTACTTGTTAAACTTCTTATATGGTTAAGCCTTTTTACTTAAATTTAATGTTAATTTAAATTGTGTTATCTCAAAAACAAAAAAAGGAAGGAAGAAGAAAGGAGAGGGGGGTGGAAAAGAGAGGAAGGGTGGGGGAAGGGAATATCATTATGATTTTAGAATTGTATCTACAAAGCACATTGAATCTGTTAAAAACTAAAAGAAGATTAAAATAAAAAATTTAAAAATTATATAAAATAATAAAATCTTAAAAATGTATTATGGAGCAAGTATGCATGGATTTCAAGATTTTTTAAATTTCATATTCCATAAATTTTCAAAGTTACCACATAATAATGAGAATACACAATTTTTGTATGTTTCACACAGGAAACTAAATTTAAAGATAAGAAGTATAAAATCAAGCCATCTTATTTTTTTTTTTTTTTTTACAGGCAGAGTGGACAGTGAGAGAGAGAGACAGAGAGAAAGGTCTTCCTTTGCCGTTGGTTCACCCTCCAATGGCCGCCGCGGCCAGCGCGCTGCGGCCGGCGCACCGCGCTGATCCGATGGCAGGAGCCAGGAGCCAGGTGCTTTTTCCTGGTCTCCCATGGGGTGCAGGGCCCAAGCACCTGGGCCATCCTCCACTGCACTCCCTGGCCACAGCAGAGGGCTGGCCTGGAAGAGGGGCAACCGGGACAGAATCCGGCGCCCCGACCGGGACTAGAACCCGGTGTGCCGGCTCCGCTAGGCGGAGGATTAGCCTAGTGAGCTGTGGCGCCGGCCAAATCAAGCCATCTTAAAACCAGCCCTCAATCACTTAAGGCATGGAAATAAGGTCTGACATTGGTCTCAGTTTACCCAACTATGGCTCAAAGAAGCAAGGACATATGAAACAAAGCAAGTTATTTGTGCTCTGGGGTCCACAAAGGCATCCAGTCCCACATTTGGAGTGGCATGTTTGATTTCCGGGGTTTTGGAACAATAAACCAATTAAGCTCTTTTCTCAGTCAGAAGAATAACTAAACAAAGGAAATAAATGGCCCATAACCCACTTACTTAGCCATTAATGAAAAATCTTGTGTAATATTTTTGTAACCTACAATAGTCCAACTCTACCTTCTATTCTTCACACACATATATACACAGACACTATAACATATGAATGTCTTATACCGTTAAATATAGAAAACAGTTTTAAACAGCCCTTTGGAGCCATTCTTTTGTGCCATTTCCAGGGGACTAAAAAGCCCAAGAGAAGGGAATAAAGTGGAGCTATCCCAATAGAAATAAAACATGCACCATTGGAGAGAGATTATTTATGATTACTGCCGTAAGTGATCACGTCAAGGTTTGGAGCTGTGTTAAAAGATGAGTAAAACACCACTCTACCATGTGTGGGGAAGGGAAAAACTGACGGTGAAATGATGCTCTTCCTAATCCTTTGGTGGCTTTCATTTTAATCTCCTTCTTGGACGTGAATACAAATCAATTCACAGGAATCTCTCCTGCGGGTATCCAGCCCACCTGCACCTTCCCCCTCTCTGTGGAAAGCAGGAGAGCATTGCAAGGGAGCCACTGCCCTGTGGGTGAGTGAGTGAAGCTTGCTGCCCCTCACCTTCCCCTCAAGCCCTGGTATTAAAATAAGGAAACTCAGTAACTATGCTAGGAGATAAAAAGAGAAGCTACAGAAAAAAAAAGGAAGGAAAAATGTGGTATTTTCTTCCTGTATGTTAGAAATGACGATTGCAGGAAAAGAAACCCATTCTCAGAAATCATGAATTAAAAAAAATTCATTAAAAAACATGAGTTTTAAGAGTTCTTACCTGTGCCTGGAGAAGTGTTCAACAGGAATGAAGAAAAAGCAGGAAGACAAAGATAAATAAACATGTCAGTATATTAACAGAACACATGTTCTAAACATATGTTTCATATATTACCTATATATGAAAGAGTTTTTTATTCTTTTTTTTTTTTTTTTTTGGTAAAGGATTGGAACTTTTTTTTCAGGCCTTAGGGGAGAAAAGCCAACTACTTATTGTTGAAAAGTAAGTTAAATAAACAAGTATTACAAACAGCACAGCAAAGGAATGCATTAGATGGACAGGATGAGATAATCTTTGAAATCAGAATCACCTCAAAATACACATTACGGGGAACTGAGCTATGATTGCAAATAACTCGTGAACCAACTCATGACTGAACTATTGGTTGTATATGGATGTATCTATAAGCAAGCTCAGTCTTAATCAATTGATCCATCTGCTTTTTAGGAAACTAGGATTTGAGGATTTGCTTATTCAATTGGAAAATGAAAGCTCAGAGATCATTTCCAAGTCAATGAACTACTGATTATTTTATTGAGGAATGTGTGAATTATAGTAAAAACTGTATGATTTACAATTTTCAACATTAATACAAAAACTTGCATTTTATTTTTCTGAATATTTCACTAATACATAAATTCTTAGATATTTCTATTTTTAAATACAGAACACTTATGCTCAAGGCTGAATATTCAAAAGCCTGTTTCAAATTTTAGCTTTGGTTTTCAGTTATAAGTGCTTTGATATACCTCCAGTAGGCTGATAACAAGCATATAGATGTCCCTATCAAACTAGCCATAAGGTTACATCAGAGTATGAATGTTACAGAGAAATAGTTTAGGTCAAAGAGTTCTGATAGCAAGACAACTCAAGTTAGAATAAAGTCTTGAGCCATTGTAAATTTAATCTTACATGAAATGATGAGACAAATTCAGTTTATTTTTATTGCAGGTCTGTCTACCCATACATACTAAAGTCTAACAGGTATGAGTAAATATGTGATTTTTCTTTATTAAGCGGTGACTCACCACTTATCAATATTAAATTTGCTATTAAAAATAAAAGTTTTCAAAACTTCTAAAGAAATAGTTCTTGTATTTTTGTTAACATTTCATTTCAATTATCTTTATTACATGTGTATAATTCAAGCCATGGAATTGAATTTTCTTCTTTGGAAAGAATTCACTAATATCTTCGAAATACAAAATGCTCTATGACTAGGAGGCTTGGTTACCAGTAGATGGCAGTGGTGGAGTACTTGTTCCTCTGTTGAGTGAAAAGGATAAATTCAGCAACTTGGGAAAAATGGAGATTCTTTGAGGGTACTTCCTAAGGAATTTAATTCTCCACTGTCTTTTATCTTTATTTACTTTATTTCAAAACGTCCATTTTCTCCACAGCATTGTTTTACTTGGGCAGCAAAGGATGTGTACTGGTAAGCAGAGTCTTAAGAGATTAAAATTAGACAGTCTATGGATGTATGAAACACTTTAGTATTTAAGGACGTGGTTCGCTGTATTGTGATTTAGATTCCAATAGACAACATCTACATACAATATGTGAAATTTATTCTTTGTAAACTCACTTATAGACCAAACAGTTTAATAATTGTCTGATATGTTATTTTACATGTAGGTTAGTCACAATTCCCCTTTAGCCGTTCTACTTTTGATCTGCATTGGAATACAAGTAATAACTATTAACAGTAGTTAGCAAGGAACACATCTGTTCAATAACATTCCAAAAGAAACTGTAAAAGACCAACCACAAAATTGACAGCATACTGGTAATGATTTAGAGGTGATCTTTATGTTTCTTTTTTCTCAATTAATTTTATGTTAAATGAACTTAAGTAAATAAACATCATATTTTTTCCTAAGTTTAGAACTGAAGTCTTTTTTTTATTTGATTTTAAGTCACAGGTAATTGAAATGGCTTTTCTGAGAATCTAGGGAAACTCTAAGGATGAATAAGCTAGATTCAGTTTTATGACAGACTAAATACCTTGACATTATTTGAATGATAGCTGTCATTTTTCTATTTAATTATATTCATATTCATGCACTTTCAGGGTGCTGAATCTCCAGAGAATTCAGAAATACTACATCTTGTTTGGGTAGTAATAACGTCCACATGTTTATTCAGACATTATAAAGATGAAATGATCAAGTTTCTTATGCAGGGGTTATTATTTACTCATCCATTTTGGAGGAGAATCAAGTATCCTACTGCTCTCCGTGCCAGAAAATACCTGGTTGACATGGTCCAGTTTGGGGCAAGGCCTTCCTCCATTGTAGGGTTTTTCACGCAGCCACTTAGACCGGACCTTCACGCCGCTCCCACAGGACTTACTGCATCTCGACCAGTTGGACCACTCGCTGAGCTTGCAGTCTGATGGGCAGGGGATGATGCAAGCCTCTTCAATGTAACCTGAGTGCAGGAAAAGGAGACAAGAGCAATCCCCTCCACCTGTCACTCGCCCCTGCCACGCACCATTCTAGCTGGTTCAAGAGGTCCAAGTTTGACTTGACAGCAGCATGCAAATACCGAGATGGCTCCGTTGTTAGGGACTCAAATTAGATCCTGCAGGAAGACGACACACACACAGCCTGACTCCGGTAACATAACAGCTGAGCGGCGGCCATACTATCTGCTTAGGATGCACGCGCTCACCGTATTTCAACATTTCCCACTTTCTGACAGCTTGTGCTTAATTGACAATAACCTGGCTGCTGCCATATTTTTCTCATGCTGTCAGAATGGTACATTAACAAAAATTAGAGTTCTCTAGGAAACTGTTGATGTCAAACAAGTTCGAGTTCCCAAGTCCATAAATGTTCTTCCTCAAGAAAAGCCAGTCTCTTTCAAATGATATTGGAAAGGACCCATTTAACTTGGCACCTTATGTTCTCCCTTCTTTGAAAATCAAGTCTGAAGAAGAAATATGAAGGTTGTTCAATAAATAACGCCTCATCCTTTTCCTAGTGCTGTCAATTTCAGAGCAACTTCACATCTTGTCTCCATTTGATTCTCTTGAAAACCTCATACATCAGTTGGGCAGGTATGGGTAGTCTAATGGCCAGAGAAGAAAACAAATGCAGAGAGAGAACAGAAAAGCCCAAGTTCACAGGATGAGAGATGAGGAAAGGTTTTCGGAGGTCTAGTCCAATACCCATCCCATCAAAGCAGGGAGCCACTGGACAGATTTGTTTTAGGAAATGGAAACATTTTCCTTGAAAAGTCCTTCACTACAAACTCGGCATGTTGTCACAGTGTGGATTTATCACTACTGGTTTCCAGGCATGAGGGAAAGGGACATTCCTCTGCTCAAGAATCAAATGCATGACTGTCCTCTGACTACGGAGAGAGGTAGTTTTTGGTACAAGAAAATGCTTTCTCATTTTATATCAACTGCAGAGACTTGATTATGAGAATGAATATAATTTATAGACTAATATTTCAAAAATTCATAGAAAATCCATGCTGCTAAAAACTATGCATATATTTCAATGTTTTTCACCAAAATAAATTTAGCTTTTAATATCATTTTCCATAAACTACTGTGGTGTGAAATTGATGGCCAATTTACTATATAGTATTTCCTAGTCTGGTGTAATCATAAATTACCTGGGATGAATAAAATGTACACTATCCCTTCCCCACTGCCAGCATAGATATTCTGATATAGTTCATATGGGATAAGGTCTGATTTTTGGAATTTAATCTATTTTCTTGCATTTAATTAAACTCCTTTTCCACGCTTTTTTGTTAATTTCAGTTTGTCAAGATAATTTTAGATTCACATGCAATTGCAAGAAATATAGAGGTTCTATCTCTATTTTTCCCAGTTCCTCCAATGGTAATCAGAGTGTAAATTCAATGAAGATATTAACATTAATGGAATGCATTGAGCTTACTCAATTCCCCTAGTTCTTCTTGAGCTCAGTATGTGTGAGTGTGAGTGTGTAGGACAGAAGTGAGAGAACACTGCTGTAAGACACAGGTAGAACCAGTAAAATCAGGGAGATAAACAGATTGTGGCAAACCTTTCTCTGTATTTTTCTTTATACTTATAAAAGATATTCACCCTCTGTTTCAAAATTTTTATTGTGGTCTTCATGAACAAAAGTGCATCTTTTAAGTATAAAGTTCACTGAATGCAGTCATGAAATCCACACTTCAGATACCTGCTGTGTGTTCCATTCCAATCACTGCCACTTCTTATAAGAGCAACAACTATCCTGACTTCTTAAAATCTACAACACGCTTTCTAGAATTTTATGTTAATGGAATCACATGGAGTACATTCACTTGATCAACCTTCTTTAACCTATGTTGCGATATATACTTATATCACATATAAACACATACATAGTTGTGGGGAGCAACTGGGAGCAACTCGGACTAGACTAAGTTACTGGAATTAAGACTTATTCTATGCATCTGCTTTCCCACAATATGGCGCTGGGAGAGGAAGAAACAGCTTCTACACAGCTGCCTCCAGTTCAACCAATAAACAGCAGGACCTGCTCTTGATTGGAGGAGAGCAGCGTACTCGGCGTGTGGGTAGCAGAGTTGGGATTGGTGGAAGAGGACTATAAAGGAGGAGAGAGACGGCATGCACCAGGAACATCTATCTGAAGGAACACCTGTGCAGCCCCCGAGAGAGCCGGCCGGCGGTGTGCCACTCTCCTGCGGAAGTGGGGAAAGTGACTAGGGGGAACCGCCCTTCCACGGAGGTGGAAGGGTCGGTAGCCAACCCGGGAAGAACCAGCAGCAAACCTGGGGAGGGCCGAGCAGACAAAAGAACAGCGCAGGGTTTAGTGTCGTTCCTCCATGAAGAGGGGGAGCGACACATAATAAGTATTTCTGCTGGGTGTATTCCTAGGAGATAAAGTGATGTGTCAGAGGATATGCAGATGATATCACCTGATTTAAACAGAAAACAATTTTAAATGGAACCAGAAATTTGCCATGAAGAGCAGGATGCAGTTAATTTTCAGAAGTAGGGATTTGTCCCATTCCATTTAGATGTACCAAATGGTGCTTAGTCAGTTTTGAACTGTTAAAGACAGAAAGAAAGGCCAGTGCTAAGTGTTGAATGTAATCATGATACTGAAGAAGGCCTTTGAAGTAATGAAAATGATGCAAAGGAAAGTATGACAAAGAAAGGAAGGAGTACTTTACAAGTGTTCCCTACAATTTAAAAAGCGAAGCTCCTCTTCAAATAGATTCTAGTAACCTACTGGAACTTTATGCTTTGACTATGAATTGAGGTGTGAAAATATGACCCCTCTTCAGTACTTTGATGGAAATTTATTTCAAATGCCGTTTCTTTTTTCCTATAGCATAGCCAGTAAATAAATTTATTGAATACTTCTGATAGAGCTAATAATATGCTTTGGTTTTGGTTACTAATAGTTTTTGTTAATAGTTTAGTAATGCCAGAGCAATGGCATTCTATGACCCAATCACTTAATAATAATTGTAAAAGTACAATGATTTTCAAAAAAATCCCAATCATTTCCAAATATTATCAATGAGTATGGCAAAGGACATTAGCATTTCAAAGGCAATAAGATATTGAAATATTTCTAGAAGAATTGCATTTTTCCACTTTGGAAAACTGTAACAAGATTGTCAAAATTAAGCCTCTAACCTTTTATTATTTAGTCACTGTAACTGAAAACAGAATCACATGATCTTTCATGCCACTTCTTCACTGAATAACAGACATGGAAATTCTTTCTGTTTTGTCTGCTGAAATATTATGGCATCAGTGAGAAGTAACACGTATGACTTCAGACAGGTTCAATTTATATTATTGAGGAAGGAGATTTAAAACTTTTGTGTCTGATTTTCCAATAGCATATTCCAGAAAACACCTCTCTAATAAAACACAATCTATTAAACTGTTAAAAGACATAAATTAGGAACTGGGATAAAGGCGAAACTGCAGAAGAATATATTGCTCAGTATCCTATTTTTATTTTCCAACGTGTAACAACATTCGATAATGGTGTGTCATGTTTGTCTAGCACCATTAAAATCCTTAATGCTACCAGAGAATTGCTACGTAAGCACTCCCTTGCCCTCTCTGCTAAGATTGCTTCTGAGGGCAATTAACACCAGTCATGAAAGATGGAAATACAGAAAAACATCAGAAGCACGCTAAGGCTAAATAAATTGCCAACATCTTGTAGCAATTTATAATTCCCAAGGAATGCTGGAATAAAATAAAAGACTTCACAATTAGGTTGTTAAAACTTTTAGCATTTCGACACTAAATTTGACATTTGAAAAAAATGAAATGCGCCGGCGCCGCGGCTCACTAGGCTAATCCTCCGCCTAGCGGTGCCGACACACCGGGTTCTAGTCCCGGTCGGGGCGCCGGATTCTGTCCCGGTTGCCCCTCTTCCAGGCCAGCCCTCTGCTGTGGCCAGGGAGTGCAGTGGAGGATGGCCCAGGTGCTTGGGCCCTGCACCCCATGGGAGACCAGGAAAAAGCACCTGGCTCCTGGCTCCTGCCATCGGATCAGCGCGGTGCGCCGGCCGCAGCGCGCCAGCCGCGGCGGCCATTGGAGGGTGAACCAACGGCAAAGGAAGACCTTTCTCTCTGTCTCTCTCTCTCACTGTCCACTCTGCCTGTCAAAAAAAAAAAAAAAAAAAAAAAAAAAAAAAAAAAAGCCTGACTCCTGATCTTATTTTTTTGAACCCTATATCTATTCTGACTATTGCTTCAGGATGAAATAAATACAAAACACCAGCAAGCTTACCGTGGCAAACAGAGGACATACTGCAGTTGAGATATAGCAATCACTTCATTCATTTGAGTCATGAATATACAGATAAAATAGCTCTCAACCACCTTCACAATTACTAAATTGTGCTGTTGAAAGCTTCCCTGTTGATGGATTAAATATTTCATTTTGAGAGCACGTGGAAAATACTGGTTGGTTCTGATTTACAGCTTTGTGAATGAGTTACCCTGGCATGCCATCTGAAATATCAGGATTAATCCCAGAAGTGACTTCAAAAATCCTGCTTAAAAGTATATTACATATACATGACTGCAACCAGAAATAAAATGTTAGATTTTTATCCATAGTGGTTCTCACAGACTTGAAAAAATTTGAAATAAAACAATTGTTATAAAGATTTAGCCATTTATTTGAAAGGCAAAGTTAGATAGGGGGGAGAGAAGGAGAGAGAGAGGGAGGGAGGGCGAGAGTGAGCGAGTGAAATCTTCCATCCACTGTTTAACTCCCCAAATGGCCTTAATGGCCAGGTCTGGGCTGGTGGAGGTCAGGAACTAGGAGCTTTCTCCAGGTCTCCCACGTGGATGGCAGGGGCCCAAGAACCTGGGCTCCTTTACTGCCTTCCCAGGCACATTAGCAGGGAGCTGGATCAGAAGCAAAGCAGCTGGGACCT